TTGTGTTTACCATGCCGGTAATGTGCTCTGAAACATGGTTTTTGTTTTACTCAGAAAAACGGTTCTTTTTACACTGGCTTCCCAGAACTGCGTCAAAATGGTGACCTTTTCTTTCGGCAGGCTGAAGTGTGATTCAGGGGCTTTTTAAAACACATGGTCTGTTGGCCTTTTCTGCTTTTTTTGAACCCATTTTCTTTAAATTGTGAGTCATCGTTTCGTTTTTACAGGGCTCACCCCTTATTGTGCACTTGCTGTAAGACCTAAAGGTCGCATCTCCTGGTTGGAAGATGGCAGGTTAGGTGCAAAGCGCCACAGTGAGCGGCTTGGAAAGTGCAGCAGGTACAAGTACCTACTAAGGGAAGGGAAAATGTATAAGATAATAGGAAATGACACGTCACCATGCATGATGTCACTTCCTGTCAGCCTGCGCAGGTAAAGCAGCCCTATTCCGCAAAGTTGACATGCGAGCATTGCACCGACAGGCACGTCTGTCCTGCCTCTGAATTTACCCATAATTCCTCACCCTGACCCTGTGACCCCTGCATGCCCCCCACCCCCCGAATGTGAAGGCTCATTCCTCCCCCTGCCTGCCCGTCAGGATGCGGCGTGCAAATATATGTCCGTCCTAATTCCTAATCCAGTTTAATGTCATATTTATGTAAATACTCCCCGATTTCACTGCGTATTAACTGCCAGAAATGTCAAAGCTCACATAAAATGAAACAATACCATCTCCTGGCAGAGTGGAATTTAAATGAGATTCCTCCGGGTGGCCGAGCCACCGCTGGACAGCAGATGGGGGGGGGGGGGAAATAGGCCGTGCTTTGATTGCATGTTGCAGGTTCTTTACACAGTAATCTCACCTCTTCATATTATTTACTTGCACATTTACGCTTTAATCTGTAGTGAAAGAGGAAGGCTTTGTGATGCTGTTTTTTTTTCCTCTCTTTTTTTTTAAATTTGTTTTTGAAGAGGCCGTTACGTGGAGCCCCTGTAGTTCCCACTAAATGTGTTCAGCTTCTCCTTCCCTCCTGTTTCCATCTATTTATGAATTTTGTTTCAGCCCTTCCCATGTGTACCGAGCACAAGTGATGCTTCAGATTGACGGCCTGCTCACTATCCTTATCTCCAAAATTATGCAACAAGAGTAGCTATATTCAGTACTGCGGCTGCGAGGCGCGTTAACGTTACGAACACGGTGGAAGAGCGTACCCTGTAAAAGGTGCTTGTCCCCAGGGCCTGCATTCAAACTGACCCCCCAAGCCCACCTTCCCTACCAGGACCAAGGCCTGCGGGGGAAGCGATTGATGCGGTTGTAATTTCCTCCATGGTGCAGCCTAGTTAGGACCCGGGCCACAAGCACGAGGTGATAAAGTGGGTGCTCAAGGGTGGGGTGGGGATGGATTTTAATACATAAATGAATAAGCTGTGACCACGGTCACTGCTGTCAGTTGTCGGCACGGTGGCCATGGCGGTCTGTAGGGCCCCCACGGCCTGAGGAAGCAGTCAGCATCGCCTCGCTGCCCCCGCCGGACCGGTCGCCCTCGCGTGCCCCCGACCTCCTCCTCTTTATTTATTTATTTTGATCTCATATTCAAAATGTCAGTAATCTTCACCCAAGGGCAGCTTAATAATTCTGCCTCGGCGGCGTGATAAAACAGGGGCCGTCTTTTAACGGCCCGAACATTTTCACTGAGCAATTTCTTAATTGCCTGTCTGAGGCTGTTGTTGGTTGTCGCTCGCCGTTTGTTGATAACCCGTAAGGTTCAACAGCCCCCCGAATCGGAGAAATGCCCTCCCCGCCCCACCCTTCCGAAGGTGCCGTTGCCTCACAGCCTTATTTTTAAAAATAAATAAATAAACAAACGAACGGCACGGAAAATAGAGCGGTAAATCCCGCGCCTCGCGATGGGTTTTCCGTTAAATAAATACCCATCGGGTTTATGCTGAAAGACAATGGGAAGCGTGGGCCAGATATGCAGTTTACAGTATTTATAGCTGTAATATCAAGGTGGCGCCGTAATTTCATGCCCCGATGAGAATGGCAAGGTCACCGCAAACGTCTCCGCCGAGCTCTGCCTAATACAGTGACTCATAAACAGGCGTTATGCGTGTATCAGGTGTGCCAAATAATACAGCATAATGAAATACAGAATAGCTCTCCATTATTGTTCTTTTTTTTTAACAGTGTCGTCATTAGATGCAATTTATGTCTCTTTTTAAAAAAAAAAAGTCATTTTTGCACAGACCAATCCGGAGTGAGGGTTAGAATGGGTGATCCCGCTGCTTTTGGACGTGGTCGTAAATCTCGCCCCTCACTTTTGGTGTCCTTTTAACCTGCCATGTAAAGCTGTGCTTCACCCCGGCTCTGTAATCTAAAAAAAATTAATAATGATAAAATAAAATTTGAAGGCAGGACTTGTTCTCTGCAGAACAAGTAAATAAAGATGGTACCTTATTATCGGGGCAAAATATTGTATAAGGTTCTTGTTTTTTAAATACGAAGGAGCGATGGCTGTTTGGCTTGTTTTATTTTTCTATAACATCTGCAGTCTTTCATCAGCCGCCTGTCCGAGGTCTGAGGGCATTTCCAACACCGGGCACCGGGCGCACTGCCGGGCACCGGGCGCACTGCCGGGCACCGGGCGCACTGACTTGGCAGCACTCTCAGCTGCTCTGTGCTATATGAAGTTCGGTTAGAATGCACTTCACACTTGCAGCCATTTTGCTGTAATCATATTGGTGTGATGCTCGTGAACTTTGGGAATTGTTGCTTAAGGCATCTTCCTTCTAATCTGATTATACATGTTAAGTTTTCCTTTGCTTAAGTGCAGCTTTAGCGCTGTGGGGCTTTAGCGCTGGGGGGCTTTAGCGCTGGGGGGCTCGCCCTTCCGCCGCCGGCCTCTCTGCACGCGCCTCGCTCCATAGGCTGCTCTGCTTAGACCGAGGTTCTCGAGCCCTGTCACACGTTATCGCTCCTTGTCCAGCACTGGGCCCTGGGGGGGGGGGGTTGGGGCGCCCTCGCCCTCGCCCTGTATTATTCAGTGCTCACTCTTGCCTCCCCCCTTTATACCGCTTTTTGCGTGTGCTTGGTGCCCCCATGCCCTCGCTGTAGCACTCGCGGGGGGGTAACGGCACGTGAACTTATTTGTATTTGTCTGCCTGTGGAGGCGCTGCTTTGGGCTCGGGCTCGGACTCGGGCCTCTCTGTGAGGCGGTGTGGAGGCTGAATGTGTCGTGCTGCCTCTAGCTAATTTACAGTCTCCGGGCTGTTAAATATGGTGTGGAAGGTTCTGCAACAAAACCAGGACGGAGTTGGGATACGTGGAAGACTTAGTGACAAAAGATATGGTCAAGAACTATTGTGTGTTGTAGGGAGTGAGCTGTGTAGTGTGGTGGGGGGGGGGTCAGGTAACGGTCACCCCAAGGTGGCGAGAAGAGGAGTTCCCTAATGGGGCCGGCGGCTGGGAGCCCGGAACTCACTGGTCGGGGGGGTACTGGGGGGGTACTTTTACTAATGTTAAGGAATGGGGCCAGAGTTTCATTCAGATCCCTGTAATGTGCTGCTGCTGCAGAGTGTGTGAGTGTGTGAGTGTGTGAGTGTGTGAGTGTGTGAGTGTGTGTGTGTGTGTGCTCGCACTTGTCTCTGTCTATGAGTTACTGTGAGTGTATCTGTTAGTGAGTGTGTTAGTGAGTGTGCGCGAGTGTTTGTGCGCGACTGTGTGTGTCTGTGAGAGTGTCTGTCTGTCTGTGTGTGTTTACTCTCTCCATTTTTAAGTAGAAGAGATAGCTGTGTGATGTCTAGCTAAAAGCCCACATCTATAATGAATAAACTTTTTACATTTTTTAAACCTATTTTTTCCCTTTCTTTCATCATGAAGCTCTTTGCAATATAATCATAACTCAGATCATTAAATAAAACATCTTAAGATTAAATTATATTTGCATTTGCAACATTATGTAATAAATTTACATTGCAATGAAGAAATTTAAATAATGTTTTTCTGTGTCCCAAGTTTTGTAAGAATCTCAGCTGGGAGATTCAGGTCTCTGGGGTGGAGACCAAAAGTTTGGATAGTAAATCATTTAGAGGCACCAGACCGTGCGTGTGTGTGCGTGTGTGTGCGTGTGTGTGCGTGTGTGTGCGTGTGTGTGCGTGTGTGTGTACGCGTCCGTGCGTGTGTGTGTACGCGTCCGTGCGTGTGTGTGTACGCGTCCGTGCGTGTGTGTGTACGCGTCCGTGTGCACGCATGCCCTGTGATTCACTGGCATCCTGGCCAGAATGTTCCCTGTTCCTGCCCAGTGCTTCCAAGTTTAACCTCCAAGCCCATCACTGTTCTGTGTTGGATCAGCAGTTTATGGAAATGGTTGGATATGCTGTAATAATATACATAATTTACGCTGGTTTTGTTTAATTGAGTATATACTGTACTATCTCACGCCCTTTCTGGTGTTTCCTCTCATGTCCTTCTTGGGGTTCTTTGTGCCGTGTTGAGTATACAGCCTCTCATGTCCTTTTTGGGGTTCTTTATCCCATGTTGAGTATACAGCCTCTCATGTCCTCCTTGGGGTTCTTTGTCCCGTTTTGAGTATACAGCCTCATGTCCTTTTTGGGGTTCTTTGTGCCGTGTTGAGTAAACAGCCTCTCATGTCCTTCTTGGGGTTCTTTGTCCCGTGTTGAGTATACAGCCTTTCATGTGCTTCTTGGGGTTCTATGTGCCGTGTTGAGTATACAGCCTCTCATGTCCTTTTTGGGGTTCTTTGTCCCATGTTGAGTATACAGCCTCATGTCCTTTTTGGGGTTCTTTGTCCCATGTTGAGTATACAGCCTCTCATGTCCTTCTTGGGGTTCTTTGTCCCGTGTTGAGTATACAGCCTCTCATGTCCTTCTTGGGGTTCTTTGTCCCGTGTTGAGTATACAGCCTCTCATGTCCTTCTTGGGGTTCTTTGTGCCGTGTTGAGTATACAGCGCCTCAGCATGAGCTGCTCTCGCTTCTGCAGGTCTGACCGATGACGAGGTGGAGCTTGCCATCCAGCGTTCAGGTGCCACGGATGAGCCCCTAGCTGTGGCCCCCACGGGATCGGACCCCCTGCTCCTGCACCCGCAGCTGCAGGCTCCTGTGGCATACAGTGAGTACACCCCTTCCTTTCTCCCCAAACCCGGCGAGTCATAACTATTATTATAGCTCTGCATGGTCTGGCCTGAAGTTGTTAGATACTGTAACACCTCAGAGGTTTGCAAAATTCACAATATTTGCTGTATCTTGCATTTGTGTCAATATTTTGCTGCTGACAGAATTCTCAACAGAATTGCCCCAGGGTACTTTACTCGGGTGTGTTATGATACATTCCTGCATCATTTACACAGTATAATTCACAAACAGACAAAAAGACAGACAAAGAAAGAAAGCCGGATGACAATTGAAGAGAGGAACCAGAAACTCCCAAGTAGAAAGGGAAAATAAACCTCTGGGGGGGTCACCCCCCCCCGGCATGCCAACACTGTAGATAAATGTAACATTTGAATCCATAACAGAAGGGTGTGCCTTTTTTCTGGAAGAAGAAAAAATTTGACACTTTTTTGTTTTTCCCCCCCAAACCTCTCCACTTGGGGAGTTTCGCTTGGAGATTTCACCCGGCACCCCCACCTCACCCAGGCTGTCCCAACGGCGGCTAGGAATCCACCACTGTATCCTCTAGTCCAGTCCTGGCCCCGGGCCGCCGCTTCCTGCCCCCGCCCCCGCCGATTCCTGCGCCCGCCCCCGCCGCTGTGCCTCCGGAGCAGCTATGGCTGGTCCGGCCTTGACTCGCGCGCCGTCTCATGTTTGGTAATGAATCCGTGTGCTGATTGGATGGCTTCGCGAGGCGGCCTGCAGCAGCGGTCTGGCAGGCTTATATCATAAGGGCAGTGAGGGGCTGCATAATGAGATGAACTGGGGGGGTTGCTTCCAGAAGAGTGGGCCCGCCCTGCTGGGGGGTGTCCTTCATCCAGTCGTGTTGGGTGAGGGACCTCCATCCATCTGTCGCCGTAATGGGCGCCCTGATCACCATTCCTGTCCCAAGGAAGGACAGTTGGGTATCCATTGAACCCTATAAATTCCAGAAGAGATTTGTGGTGGGGGGGTAAATGGGGGCCCCTGTAGTTTAAGTGACCGAATAGGAGGAGAGGATAAGCAAAGGTAAACGGCTCTGTGACTTGCCAGGGGTGGCCGGGGTTGGTCGGCCCCCGTGATGGAGAGGCCAGTCCTGGGATCTGACAGCTGGCTCAAGGTCTGTGAGCCAGGCTGCGGTGCCCTGTGGCGGACGGCGTGACGGCGTGACGGCGTGGCCGCACGGCGCCCCGTGTTCGTTACTGGAAAGTCGTAGATCTCCGGAGGCCGATGGCCGGCGTCCTTGGGCCCGTGGCGCTGCCCGCACTCGCCGTGTAAGAAGCCGTCTGGATCCGGCTGATGTATGCGGCATCAGCTGTGAGGCGCTGAGTGAAAAACGGTGCCATGTCTGGCGCCGCGCCCCCGGCCGTGGGCACGCTGTGCCGTATATCTGAGTGGCCGGCGTCAGCCCGAACATGGGTGCTGTCTGAAGCCTTTAGGGTCAGACCCTAAAACACTTTTGTTGCTGAGCTATATAAGTCTTGTGTGTGTGTGTGTATATATGTATAATATTTAATCCTCTTAAGAGCTCATAATTCCCCTGTAATTCAGCCTTTTTTATGTCAAATACCAGTTTCAGTTGGAATGGGAAAAAAGGATCATCTGTTTTGCTGAAAGGGCTTTTTTGTGCATGCAGGCAGCTTGGTGGTTCAGGGCATCCTGGGCCGCTGCCTTGTCTGTCACTTTTAAACTATTGAACATGCAGGTGTTCAGGCATTTGGCTGCATTTTGTGATTTTTGAAGCAATTTAGTTTGTCATCTTGGGCAATGACTTGAAATGTTTCTTTTCTGAAAACTTTTTCCCTCAGAGGATGTTGTAAATCTATATCTGAGTAAGAGTTGGATGTGAAATGGATCAAAACCTGTCAGTTCACAAGTAAGTTAAAGGCAAACTTTGATATTGTGCCTGTATTCTGATTGAGTTGACATAACCCTTAACTGAAAACACTCCAACATAGCAGAAAAGATCAGATAATTTCTCATTTCATCAAGGCCATACCAAAGGGGGTTAATGTTGAACTTCTGTCTTCCATCTTTTTACCGTGGAGGGGGGTCGCAGGCTGGAGCATGCGGCATAGAAGCCCCCCGCGCAGAACATCAGGCCGTCATGCGCCACATAAACACAAGGCAACTCTGTGGCCCAGCTGTACGTTTCTGATTGGCTGAGGGAAATTGGAGAACCTGGAGGAACGTGTATGACACGCTGAGAACCTGCAAACTCTGAAGCAGAAGAGGGATTCGACCCCCCAGTCCTGAATGTGAGACAACAGTGCTACTCACTGAGGCAACTCCGCATTAAACGTCCCTTAAATAATCCTAAATGAAAAAGCATTTGGTCTTGTACGACTCCACTTTACCTGGAATTTCTAAGAAACATGCAAAATCTGTCTTATTTACCAAGTGTCACTCACTGAGAGAGTCGCTCTGGGAATTTTAGAAATGTTTTTTATTTTATTTTAATAATAATAATAAATGCAGTGGGAGGGGCATTATTGAAATTTCCCCTGGGGCCCCCGTATTAACAGTCAGCTGCTCTCCTGAAATCCGCCCCTTTTCCCCATTAATTCCCATCAGTTCTTCTGTTCTTCAGTTCCAGCGTTCCTGGGGAAAATGGGAAAAGTTCCGGTAATTTTTAAATGAACAAACTTTGCTGAAACGACAATAAATCTGACAAATTATATTTGAGAAAGTTGCCGCCGTGATTTTATATATTTTTTTTTAATTTTTAAAAACACAAAATATAATTTATTTGACACAAGATTATTTGCCAGAAGCATCCGTCAACATGACTAGTTTAAACAAGCTATTAAGCATATCCTTGGAAACCAGGCCCTGGGATTACTGGGGATACAAATCTTAATTAGAAAAGGGGGGGAGGGGAGAGACAAATGGCTGGAGCCGGAGCTTCATGTGCTGTGCTGCAGTGGCCTTGGTGATTCCTCACTGTCAGGCTGCCTCATCCTGGCCGCCCCACTCTGCCTCTTTCCGGCTACCCAGAGGCCGGGGGGGGGGGCCCAAACTTCATTGAGGAAAGTGGATTGGGCCGTTATCCCGCCCCCTCTCCGGTGGCTGTGCCGTCGATGGCGTCCTCACGCTGTCGGGGTGATTATTGTGTTAGCGTAATGCACTTGTGAACGGGGTGGGTGTACGGCTGTGAGCCATGAAAACCGTGCACGGTGATCTGTGCGAGAGCGGCCATCTGCAGCTTTGTGATGTCGGATATGTTACCGTCTTTGTTTTTCATTTATTTATTTATTTTTTTAATTGTTCTGCTGAGACCTGATGACATGTACAGTGGTACCTTGGTTTACGAGCATATTTCTTTCCGGAAACATGCTTGTAATCCAAAGCACTCGTATATCAAAGCGAATTTTCCCATTAGAAATAATGGAAACTCATATGATCCGTTCCACAACTCAAAAATATTCATATAAAAATGAATACAAAATATAAAGTAAAAATTAGGGGTGCACCGATCGATCGGCGCACCGATCTATCGGCCTCGATCACGTTAATTTGAGGGGATCAGAAATCGACCATATTCCCATGAGATCCACCGATCTTAGTTATATGCTTTTAAATCAGCCTTTTCTCCCATTCCCGAGAGAGGTGCGGTGCAGGCTGCCTCCCTCCCGCCCGCCTAATACATTTTTACAGAATTAGAGAAATTAAAGTCTGGAAGAAAAAATATAATTTTGTAGTTCAAACAGCAATGCTCATTTATATGTTCATTTATATTTGAGGACACTACCTCATGTTTTGTGAGTATTCATATCAATTTACTCAATAAAAATGGAAACATTGAAGTAATTGTCTTTTAGTTATGAAAGAAACAAGATCGGCAAAAAAAAAATCGAGATCGGCAGGTAAGGTTGTCTAAGGATCGGTGATCGTTGATCGGCCAGAAAACTGCAATCGGTGCACCCCTAGTAAAAATACATAAAACAAATTAACCTGCGCTTTACCTTTGAAAAGAATCGTGGATGGTGTGAGGGAGATAAGAGAGGAGAAGAGGAGGGTTATTTTGTAGGACGAATTTCACTATAATTAATGGAATCACTGCTATCTGTTGGCTCACTGGAATCTTTTTCTGTTTGTGCGACTTTAACAAGGAACCCATCCAATGACAGCCTTTTTTGCCTCCTTTTTCGCAAAAATGTGGACATTGCATTGTCGTTAAACAGATTCATCGTTCGCACTGCTACGCCCTTATTCAGGTGGTGCTTTTCTACTAAATTTTGACTATACGAGTGAGGCTTGCCGACTGAGACCGAGCATGGGAGACGATTACCCACAATTCCGCAGTGTGAGAAAGTGAATAACCATTGGTTCAGTTGTGATGACGTGCGCTTGGCGTCAAAACAAGAAGCGCACGCATGCGCTTCCTGTTTTGAAGCCGAGCGCACGTAAAAACAAGAAAAACAAGGAGCGCATGTGTGCCATATGATCTTTGATGATACTTGGCGCTCGTAAACCAGGACTTGCTCGGTTTCCAAGTCAAAATTTATTAAAAATCTTTGCTCGTCTTGCGGAACACTCGTAAACCGCGTTACTCGTAATCCGAGGTTCCACTGTAATTGGCTTTGTCTCCGGAATGTTCCTTTCAGCTTTTTTTGGCACGTACCCCAAAGCGCCCACCGGTCAATGTGTGTCGCCCCCCCCCCCCGCGAGTTGTAATGGTTGAACACTGATCTGCTGCTGCGGCAGAGGGTTACCGGTTCGAGTCCCATGATCCTTAGCCTGAACTGCCTTAGTAATGAAAGCCCATTCAGCTGTTTCTGAATCCTAACGAAAGCTTCCTGGAGCCTGCTGGATGCTTTCTCTCTGGCACGCGTGTCTGCTCTGTGCATTTCTGTTCTCGTCTTCCGGCGATGTCCGCAAATAAAGATGAAACTCAATTTGTGGGGTTTCTGACTTGTATTTTTGGTGTGTTGTTTGTGAAAACTTTCATGTACGTCACACCCTGTTTGTTTGCCGTTATGGTTTTGTTTTTCCCCTCCTTACCTGCGGCCTCAGTGACGTTCAGCTCTGCAGACAGATAAGAAGCGGAAATTTCCGTGAGTGTCTCTGCTTCCTCGGTTGCGGGAGATGCCCGCACTGAGGTGCCGGGGGGGGGGCTCATGGCCCCCGGCCCCCGCTCTGCACCTCCTGGTGTTTATTTGCTTGTTGCCTTGCACCTCCACTCCCTGACATTTGTCACAGAGCTTTGCCGCCACTGTGACGTCATCCTCTCATTCAGTCTTCATCATAATTGCTAATCTGAGTCATATTGGAAGGCAGTACTGAGGACTCACTGGGGCAGCGGTACCCGAATCCTGTGGCATTTCGCATTTCTGGAAACCCTGGTGGTGATTCCCCCTCCCAATCCCGGTCGACTTTGCGGAAGAGAGACGCCTTGGCGTGTGAATGGACCTTCACGTCTCCTGCCTTCCCCTTGGCCCACATTTATAAAGAGCATTTTTAGATACTGGTCATTGGCTCCCTTCCCGGCTGTCCGAATGTCATGTCCCATAAATTTGCTTCTGAATTTTCTCAAATCTCATCACTGCCCCCTCCCCCACCCCCCCCAACTGAATGATGATTAAAATGTGTTTGTCCCTAACGATGGTGTGCAAGCCGTTGTTGCACAAGGTCCCATGGGTTATCGTGACGGCCTCACAGCGCATTGAGGTTGACACACCTGAATGTTGAAAAAGTGTAGAAAAGGCTTCCAAACTTTGACGTCCCTGGTGGGTCAGATGAGCATTTGCTGTCAGTCGCTGCCTGGTTTAACCAGCGGTAACTACTAGTGTGTCTATTGGAATCAGTTCGCTGATGGACCCCATATAATAACCTGACCAATAGCAGGACTCAAAACTGTGCAGATGATCATGATGAAGATGAGTGTGATCTCATGGCCTAATTCAGGGGTGTGTTTCTGCTGCAGGACCCACCGGCCCCCGATGGAGAGACTATGGCGCCCTGGCAGTCATCATGGCCGGCATCGCTTTTGGGTTCCATCACCTGTACCGGGTACGTCAGCACCGCCTCCACCCTGTGCTCCTGGTTCGAATGGGGGCGGGGTCTGTGGAGAAGGCCAGGCCATATTGTCACCTACCCATTGGCTGTAAGCCGGGAGGGGGGTGAGGTCTCCTGGGTGAGCGCCTGCCGCCCTGCAGGTTCACCCCCCCGTAACGGCGGCAGTCGGTGAGCTTGGGATGTACGAGTTCGTCGTGTGCCAGGCTCCCGGCGTCTCGCCGGTGCTCTTAAAGCGTGCGGTGAACACCAGGCTGTCTGCACGTTACTGCTCGCCGCTCTAAGCCCCCCCGGTTCGCACCCTCGCCTTAGCTAAAGCTAAGTCATGTCCCAACTCGTACATCCCACGCCTTGGCTAAAGCCCCCCTGCTCCGCCTGTAATATAAGCCTCCTGCCCACAGTTGACCTTTATAGTCAGCGAGATCTCTGGGTGTTTACCTCCGCGGTGGCCTTTAGGGGGCGTGTCTGCTGAGGGTTCGGCTGAGCTGCTCCCATGGTAACAGCAGCATCACTGCAGCTGGATTCCATGCTCTGTCTTAATTCTCTTTCTCTATCTTAGCATATTTATCCTCCTCTACTTTCTTTTCTACTTTTCTTTCGAAATCCATGTTGTTGTTCCTCTGCTTTTTGCCTGTTGGACTTGCACTCTCTCAAACTCCTTTGTTCTTTTGTGTGTGTGTGTGTGTGTGTGTGTGTCCCACACTCCAGCTACGCCAGGCAAAGTGGCGCTCCCTGCTGGTGGCAGGGTGACAGTCCCTGGTGGGCAGTCTGCCGTGCCTCCGGGGTGAGCAGCCGTGCTCGGGCCATATGTTGCCCCCACCCCCTCCCTGGCGCGAGCTTCACTTATGTTATGGAGTCATGTGTAAACACACCGGCCTCCAGCAGCCCTTTTATTAATTCTGCATGCCTGACACTCGGAGGCGACACTCCTTTCCCATTTTTGCCTCTAAAGTGTTTATTGCTTCTCTGGTCGCCAGTGGCGCTGGGCTGGCTGTGAAAATCTGCCTTGTGGCACCACCTGGGGAGGCACTATGACCAGCTGCGCCAAGCTGGGGTCTCATAAGGAGACTTTGGCCGCGGCTAGCCGCTGTACATCTGCCACTAGCTGCTCCCTGTGCCGTTAGTCACTGCTAGCTGCTAGCCTGTCCAGCTAAAGGCGACCTCTGCTGCTAGCGGCTGCCCACCCTGCTAACCGCTACCTTCGCCGCCAACGGCGCCCTCGGCTGCTGGCCGCTGCCTGGGCCGCTAACCGCTACCTCTGCTGCTAGCGGCTGCCCACCCTGCTAACCGCTACCTTCGCCGCCAACGGCGCCCTCGGCTGCTGGCCGCTGCCTGGGCCGCTAACCGCTACCTCTGCTGCTAGCGGCTGCCCACCCTGCTAACCGCTACCTTCGCCGCCAACGGCGCCCTCGGCTGCTGGCCGCTGCCTGGGCCGCTAACCGCTACCTCTGCTGCTAGCGGCTGCCCACCCTGCTAACTGCTACCTTCGCTGCTAACTGCTCCCGCGGCTACTGGCCACTGCCCAGGCTACTAACTGCTACATCTGCTGCTAGCCCGTGCCTGCCCGTAAACGTCCGTTTATCTTTGGGGGGTGTAGTTGGTGCGGTGTGGCCCGGGCCCTGACATCTTGCCCGCGGTGCCCGCTGGCTGTACTCGCATCAAATTGCCGCTCGGTCACTGTGGCGTGCCGCTGACAGGCAATTGTCTTCAGAAGGTCGTGTGTTCCTGTGGCGCTGCCCAGGGCACTGGCACTTAATGAATTTGAACCCTGTGTGATGCCCCCAGCACCCATGCCCTACCCTACACGTTGGATATGGAGTGGCATCCTGAGGGCTGTGGGCACCACCAGAGCATGAACTGAAGGGCTGTCACGTGACCATGAAGTGAGAGGAGATTAACTACACGCTGCAGGAAATAATGCGGATGGGAGGGGAAATCCGCATATGTTACGCCGAAAACGGAGGGAAGCGGCCACAGACATTAGAGAGATCTTTGCGATTCACTCACAGGCCACGCCCCCGGCTCTTCGTCAGGCCACGCCCCCGGCTCTTCGTCAGGCCACGCCCCCGGCTCTTCGTCAGGCCACGCCCCTGGCTCTTCATCAGGCCACGCCCCCGGCTCTCGTTTGTCCTCATGGGTTCTGTCACATTCAGACCTATTAAATACTCTGAGGACAGCCCATGGTAATTCATAATATAATAATGCATAAGGAAAAAATTATAAAAAAAAAATAATTGTGGCATCAGATTAAAAAAAAAAATTCATTAATGTTTGAGTCATATTTAAGTTCATTAAAGATTAACGAGTAACTCTTGCAGCCTGTTTCTTTGCTGCTTGTATAAACAGCTCTGTTTTCTTTCTTTTTTTCCCTCCCACACTCCAGCTCGTTACGGTTGCACGTCCCAGTTAATGGCTTCCTATCTCTAAATCCTACACTGTATCTCTGCTGGGTTCCTGTCCCGGCACCCCTGCCCTCTATGGCACTTTCCCTGTGTGCACGCTGACTTTCTCAAACGGGATAGTTAAGGACCAGCACTCTGGGATTTAGGCCTGTCCAGCTCTGCAGGTCCTGCCCCGTGGGAGGTGCGATGCGATTAGACAGAAGTCACATGGGCACAGTTTATCCATTAGGTGTTTCTCAGTAGGCGTACTTGACCATACATGTGTTCTCGTGTCCTTGTTTTACGTCATATTCCATTGCCATAGACCAGTTCCAGTACAGAAGTTCAGAGCATGGTAAAAATCTCCAGATGTCGTTCTTGCCCCACCTCAAATATCAAGGATACATCAGTTGCATCCTCACCGAAATAGACCAATCCCATGATTCATTGCACCTCAAGTCCATTCTTGGGAGGCAAGTTAGCGAGACCGCTTTGACCAAGACCACAAGTACTGCTTTTGCGTTTATACACCCTGTGTCACTCCCTCACCTACTGGCTGCAGTGAATGATTGGATTGATGTCATGTTTAATGGGAAATGGCATGCTGAGTTGGGCGGAAGGCTGGGGATCATTCTGACTTTCCTCTGAAAGCAGATCCTACAGTCCGACGTTCGGGAGGGCCCCCAGGCCGTGGTTGCTGGTCAGTCAGCCGGTGTCCCTCGGGAGGATTCCAGCCAGCCTTCCAGCTTCTGCTGTCCTCAGGTCTCCCTTGTTTTTTCCGAGGGCTCCTGGTGAGACTTTTTTTTTTTTATTGCAGAAATACATCCTTCCCCTCATCATGGGCAGCAAGGAGGACAAGAAGCAGCTGCAGAGGATGGAGAGCAGCATGGCTGAGATAAGCAGCACACTGACGCAGACAGGTGAAGATTAATCTCTTCATCACTTCTCCCCCCTTAACATTTCCCGTCATTTATCTGTCGCCGAAATCCGCTCGCGTTCTAACAAACGGTGGACCCGTCATTTCTCTTTAATTCCAAATTGCTTGTTTACTGTCGGCTCAGCCTCAATTAATTACGTTTGGCTGAAAAGCTCTTAACCTCAGAATATTAATGAGCGGACGGGAAATGACAGCGTTCCTCTTCCCCTCACCCCGTTGCACCCCCCCATGGTGAGAAAGTTCATTTTAATTTCGCCACCGAGGTGCGACGCTCCGGCCTGCGTCGGGCCGCGTCAGTGATTAAGCGCACAGTGTCAGGTGTGTCTCCTGTCTCGTGCAGGTGTGGCGGCCATCCCTCAGCCCCCCCCCCCCCGGGAAGCAGCACTAATTAAGTGTGCCAGGAGTCAGAGCCTAGGAACGCGTCTAACAGCAAGTGTGTCCCCTGTTGGTGTCTGTCCAGGCCTGGTCTTAGGAACTGCATAAAGTGGGTGCGTTTGTAATTCTGGTGACGTGCAGCCGGTCTGGTGGCCCTATAAGGCTCTGAATCGGCAGCTTTATTGGGGGTGTAGGCTGACATGCCTGATTATAATGTGCGAGTCCATGCTGACCGTTTATGCAGAGCGTGTTAATGTCTGAAGTGCATCCGTTGCAAGATATGCAGCTGCAGACTGCAGACCACTCATCTGACTGCATGCCTGTGGGCAGCGGAGCAGAAAGTGCAGGACACGGAGGAAACAAGTGCAATGCAGGGAAAAGCTGCGATCTTGCAGGGCGCAGGCCAATCCCGACCCTGGAAACGCCGGCCTGATTTAACTCCATTTGCATTTTCCCGCCTGTTCCTCCTGGATGCCTTTTCTGTTTCCTGGCTTGCTGCAGGTGAGGCCAGGTGACTGTTATCTTTGCTTCCTTTCTCGGTACATATTCTGTTTGTTTCAGAGCGTAATTCCTGCGTCGTTCCTTGCATTGAGGCCCCTCCCCCAGATCTTAGCTGTATGTTTGCGTGTGGCCAGCCCTGATTGGCTGTTGATGAACATTTCGATAGCATGAAGAATGGCGCTGGTTCTGGCGCCAGTCCCCGTCCTCCTCGCGGTAAGTGATGGCCGTCAGGGCTCAGGCTGCATAGTGCCAGCTGGCCTTTTGTTTGTCAGCCTGTTTCGGAAGTAATGCGTTGCTTTAAATGCGCCCGCATCAGTCTCCCAGCTTCCGCTGTGCGCCGAAGCTCACATTACCGCTCGCTCAGTCACTCGTGGGCCCGGTTAATGAATGGCTTTTGGACAGGCTTCAGCGCACCGAGCCGGCTGTCAGGTCCGCCGCCGGTTCCACCGGCCTTGGCAGCAAGGAACCATATTGGTGACCAGCTGGCTGTGCAGGACGTGGGCCAGTCCAGACGTGTGTAATGTTCAAAATACGGGCTGTTTCTCCAATAATCTAGAGTGATGCGACCCACTCTTAGGATTCTGAAGTACCTTTAACAGGCCCTGTCTACTCTCATGAGGAAGCACTTGCAGAAATGGTCAGGGGGTGCCGTGGGGGCTCTCGGGGTGCCGTGGGGGCTCTCGGGGTGCCGTGGGGGCTCTCGGGGTGCCGTGGGGGTTCTCAGGGGGTGCCGTGGTCCTTTAGACGCTCACATTACCCATAGATCCTCTGCACTCCTGATATGCAGACGAATTTGTGTAAGAGCTGAAGGGAGTTACTTTGAGATATCCCAGCCCCGCTCACCCATTTCCTGACGCCCCCCCCTTTTACAATAGCAGCAAGTTATTACCTGTTCAGCATGAGTTCCAGGAGGGGATTTGCTGGTAAACGGAACAATCTCAGGTGCCTGACAGCTACCTACCACTAGAGGTCCCCAGTTCGGTCGGCGGGGCTTGAGCGGTCGTAGCAGGCAGAGTGGGCCGTGGTACCCCACTGCGGGCCAGTAAAAATGTCCACCGTGCAGCTGAAGCTGTCAAACATTGCGCTGGGGGGGCTTAGGTGGGATGGGGTGTGCCATGGGTCAAGACGGGAAGAACCGTATTAGCTGGGTGTGTGCGGGCGGTGTTGGTGCGCACGCGGGGGGGGCAGGGGGGCTCTTTAATGTGGTTTGGTCGTGTCTGCGAAGGAGCCTGCATCATAAAGCCTTTTACCTTCTCCCGAAAAGCCAAACAGTAGGCAGCTACTATATCTCTTGATGTTAAACCAATTAGACTTGATTTAACACTTTGCTCCGGATGATTTATACAAATGTTTATTGGTTTTCTGTAATATAATCAGTTTGGAAACTTAATGCATTGTTTGGGAATTCACGTGTGAGTGGAGAGGAGAGAAACGGCCTGTTCTCCATGTTATTTGAAATAATATCCTGCTTTATAACACCGGTCCCTGCCTGTTAGTGCCGTTTCTTTTATTACTGTGCTTATTTGTCTCTCATCTCCCATACCTTCACCTGAACCCGAAATAATTCAATCTTCAAAGTCAATAAAAGAAGATCTCTGTTATTGGGATTAGCAGGACCACTTAGTCATGCTCCCCTCCTCAAATAAAAGCGTTCGTAATTTTATTTGTTTTTTTTTGTTTTTTTTTTTGCTTGTTGATGGTTTGAAGGTTTTTAGATGCATAACGATTGGCAGTATATTGGCTAATGGGGGCATGTAGACGCTTGTTTAACGTGGGGTCGGGCACCAGATTAGGGATTAACCTATTTACTCTGCTCAGAGATGATTTTATTACCTCCCTGGTTTAAGCGGAAAGTGCGTCGTTGAACTCGCCATTTCCCCTGCAGTTAATTGAACATCCTGAATGTTTTTAAAAGCTTTATCGTGCTGGTCCTTTGGTGGAGGGGTAACGGAGATAACAGGCCTTCCTGTTCTGAGGGAAGCTAAGTTTAAGGTAGCGAAATGCCTTTGGAGGAGAACCGCCAGGCAGGTCGGGGAAGCACTCCCGTATTTCAGCATCTCGGGAAAAGTGTGACCTTTCCCATGACACAGTCCCACCCAACGGTATCTCAGACTGGCCTTAAAATTGAAACAACCTCTTATTTTCCACAAAATTAGAGGTTCTGACTTTATTATTTTCCAACTTGATGTCTAAAGCAGCATCAGTGGTCGCTTAACCGTTGGAATTGCTTTCATTTCAGTCCCCGGAATAAACCCCGGCCAATATTCATCTTATTAGACGCCATTTCGGTTAAATTAGAGGTCCCGGTGTGCCGGGCACAGTGTGCGTGCTCTGGAGCGCCTAACGTAATCCTCACAGCTGAGACTGGCCTGCGTTTGTTTGCGCTGGATCTGAATCATTTATGGACATTGACATCATAATGGGTGATTTTAAGATCTCTGTTTGCCGTCACTTGCAGACCTTCACAGCTGCCTACTGACACAGTTCACATCGGGAGTCTCTCCAGGCTGGAACAGCACCAGCAGACTCTCTGCTTGTAGGCCCAAGTCCCCGTCCTCAGTGCTGAGGTCCTTGCTGGGCCTGACATTCATACTGGAGGGACCCCATGTCTTGATTGTATAAAAAAAAAAAAAAAATCGCGACCTATTTATGCATGGGAAATACTCGTATGGGGTGTTACCGTTAGGCCTGGGAAATACTCGTATGGGGTGTTACCGTTTGACTAAACTTTACCTGTGATTGGCAGGGCAGGTGCCTCATGCACACCAAAGAGCGACTTATTTTCCTTCTGTTTCCTGTAATGTCTCGTTTCCGTGGTCCTGTGCTTCTGTAGTTTAAAGATTTAGAACAGCAGCCGCCCCTCCCCCGCACACAAAGGGCTCTCAGCCGCCCCAAAGCTGGAGCTTCGTTCCTGACAGGCCCTGACCTTGGGCAGCGCTTTCACAAGCCGACCAGTGTGTCAGTGTTTTGGGAGCGAAGGATGGCAGTCTATGTCTGCTGGCCTCAGCGTGCCTCACGCTTCCTGGGTCCCGGCCTCTGTCTCACGCCGCCTCTCTGTGTGTCTCTCTTGTTCCCCAGTCGCCCAGCTCCAGACCACTCTGGCCTCTGTTCAGGAGCTCCTGGCCCAGCAGCAGCAGCGGATACGGGAGCTGAGCCAGGACTTGGCCTCCTCTGAGGTAAATCCCTGGTGCTCGGCACTCGGCCGTATCGACAGGCTTCCCGCTCTCCGGTATTCAGGTCGCTAGCTGGCCGGCTGGCCACTGTTCGGACAGAGGCATCGTCTTCGGGCTACCAAGCGGCCCATACCGAATGGAGACCGATTTCCAGCAAAGGCGAGATGTTTGTCTCATCTGAAGGGCAGGTATAAGCGGCAGCAATGCACATGTGCAGCAACTGTAGCCAGGAAGTGTTGCATGGGTGGGCCCTCAAAGCAGCATTGCACGCAAGGTGAGTGACAGAGCTGGTGCAGCGGCGATCCATCTCCTCAGGCCCCATGGTGGTCAGCTGGCCCGGACAGACCACCAGAAAGGAGACCCTCTTCTGCTTTTGGTGCTCCGGCTGAATTTTAGGCTTCGGGATTCTGGCAGTCATGGAAACAGGCGACGCTGACGGAACAGTGTCATCGTCACACGCTGCCACCTTATGTCCTGTGTCCAGGCCTCGTCTCTGATGTGGGGTCTGGCGATGCCCCTTGACTCACTTCCATGGGGGGTCGACAGCCTCGATCAGCACATGCACAGACGCGCCTCCTCGCCTCTTAATGCGTAGTGCAGGCCCCTGATGGCTCCCTGTACCCCGCAATAAATCATTGTGGAACGGCCCCCGAAAAGCCAGCAGTCTCCGTGTCCGCAGCTTGTTAGGCGCGAGGCTGCTATAGAGCAGCATCTGGATCCCGCGAGCAAACAGATGTGGGCACATCTGTCTCGGTGGAAACACGAAGGGATGACGCGAATCCGCCGCATCACCGCGTGTTGGTTTTTAATTTTATTTATTTTTATTTATTTTGTTTGTTCAAGACTGCGGTAATGTTAGAGTGATGGCTCCGGGTCACACTGCCATTTGGCATGACGACGGGGTAGAGAAGGGGACCGACCTGGAAGGTAGCGCGTCTGGGAGCAAGGCCGGGTCAGAGCGCCAGTGATGCCCTCTCCGTCCGCTGCCAGACGCACGCGGCCGCCTCCGTCCGCACTTTACTATACTATAACAATGACTCCTTTCTCGTTCAGTCTTTTTTTTTTTAGGGGATTTTTTTTGTCAAAATATAAATTAGATTAAAAAGTTTCTGCTACGTTTGCCATGAGTGGCTCTTTGGAAGGCAGCAGTGCGTAAAAAGTATATTTCACATCAAAACAGCCATTAAACAAATCATAAACTCCACTTTATGGCCGTGACGCTGATCTTAAATTTTCTTCGGAGACACGGCGCTCTGTTGTCTCGAGCCATATGGGAAATTGGAAAATTGTTTCCAGGTCCGGGGAGCGTGATTAAGGACACATGTTGGGCTGCGGAGCTACTTAGCGTGTAGCCGTTAGCGGTCTCTTCTGGAAGCTGCCCCTCCGCCTTCTTCCTTGCGGTAAGAGGAGCGGCCGGCTGGCCTACCAATGAGGGCTCTTAACGCGGAAGCGCACACTTAACCCGAAACACATGGCTACTCCTGTTTCCTCAGCTGCTAAGTAAACATTTCTTTTATTTCCTAACCGCTGAAAAGCGATGTGTGATGCTCTCTGGGGGAATTTTTTGCCTTTATTTTTTTTGTATTTCAGATGACCTTTTTTTGGAAGCGTGTGCTGTAGATGAGGAAGTTTGTGGTCATGATCATTGCATGTCTATGCATGTACGTGTGTATGTGTGCGTGCACGTGTGCGAGTGTGTCTCCAAAGTACATGTACGGGGTAAAACCTGATGTCTGCATCGAAAAGCAGCTGCATTATCAGCACCAAGCAAAGGTGGCCATCTTGCATGTGTATCTGTGGCACTTCCTTTTCAGCACGAAGAGTTTGATCTTAAATGATGTTATCTTAGGGTCCTGAGAAACTGTGGTTTTGCTTCAGTGCTGCATGCCTCTTCATTTGCGGTCGGCCGTGGCAGATTAGTAACCTCTCAGTTTGGAGGCCCTTTAGCCGGACGGGGAGTAAACAAAGTGAAATAAATTATACCAGCTTATGCAGCTGAAACACTGGGAAGGGATTTATTTTTGAAGCTAATTCATCTGTATACATATATTACATTGTGGGGGGGTGGGGATCATAGTTACCATGAATTAATTAGCATCTAGTGAAAAGCTGTGCTCGTTAGGTGAAACCTGTTAATGGGGTGCAGTCATTAATCACCATTTATTATTATAGTAATGTCTCATGCCTCTTTGTGTGTTTGGCCTTTTCTGCAGCGTTTTCTTCCCATTTAGTTCCACTTCAGCTCCTTCTGAGTGATTTCCTTAGATTTGGATGCTTTGGTGTGAACAAGCAGCTACGTGGGGGGTGTGTGCGTGTTCAAAAGGGGGCGTGTCCAGAATAGGCTGACTTCAGGATAGGCCAGTCAAAAGGGGGCGTGTCCAGCATAGGCTGACTTCAGGATAGGCCAGGCTCACCGCTTGTTATCCCCAATAACCAATGGGATTTCCTATCCTGCGCTGGATGGCTGCAGACCACGGTTCTAAGCAGACCTTCCTGCTGTGACCCCTGTGGAGCTTCTGAGGTGCAGGGGCTGAAATGAAGGTGGTGTTTCACAAACATCCCAAATCTCAGCTACACCCAGCTGCTCTTTAGGCTTTTATTAACTTTTTTGTTATTTTTCCTTATTTAGTACCCTGTTTTATGAACACCTTGGCTCTGAAGCAATTAACTTTTTTTTTTTTTGTCTAGCAATAAAATTATAGAAGTGTGTCCTTGGCTTATTATGCTGGCCCTTTTGGGTGGGTGGCAGCATTAAGGTGAGGCCTGTCCAAAGGGGCTTTTCACCGGCCTTGCCACCCCCGCCTTCCAGAAAGCCGGCCTTTACCAGGGCCGCTGGGTCACCAGCCGCTCGACGGGTGACCCCCCCAGACACCCTCTACCTCCAGTCCCTTTCAGATGTGCTTCAATGATTTCTTCAAGATTTAATTACGCGCGAAGGGGCCTAAGTTATCCCCTTTCCTGGTGAACCGGCCACCTCCAGGGTCCTTAATCACATGTTTATTTTCTGTTTTTGCCCCCCCCCCCCTTTCCTGAGGTATAATCCCTATCCCCCTCTCTGACTTCAGAGGGCAGGAAATCTTGGGCTCAGCCCACTGATGTGGGGGCCGTCTGTTCCTGGAGGCTTCAGAGCACTTGGGAGGGGGGGTGCTTTCCCTGGAACAGGCTCAGAGCCGCCTGGGGCCCTCCCCAGGGTATCCAGACGCACCTGGGAAATGCCCCCGGCCCCTGCAGAAGCCCGAATGCCATTTGGAGGGAGTGTTGGCCCTGGAAGTCGTGCTGTAAATATGTGATAATCAGGCTGTAATAATCAATAATGAGGCCATTCTGGTTAAAAGCAACTTGTGTACCTGTCACTTTTATGAAAACCGATTACATGGCTGGTGCCCCCCCCCCCAGCAATAGGATTAACTTTGACAGTAAGAATGAAGTTTACACATGGAACCACACCGTAAGCTGGCTGTGGTTTTTCTGGAAGCTTCCTTGAAGCTTAAGATGTGTGATACTGGGATATTAGGTGCCTTTGTCTCTGCCACTGGGAACGTGATGTGCAGGCTGTCGCGGCTTGTGCTCGGCGCGGGCGCCATCCCAGGGGAACGTGATGTGCAGGCCGTCGCAGCCCGTGCTCGGGGCGGGCGCCATCCCAGAGGCACTACCATCAATTCCATGCAAACAAAGCTCTGTATATGTATGTTTTTTGGTGTGATTTGCTATTCAAATTGGCGCAGGCCGCTTCAATTAGCCGTCCCTCTGTCGCAATTCATGCCATGCCAGCTCGTGCGATAAGGCTCTCCTTTAATAAACGCCTGCATACTTGGAGACACTTCATAAATGCAGCCATTGTTGCGCTTGGCGTTCCTTATCAAGCGAGTCTCCCCTCCAGTGATCAGCGGTCGGAAATATGGAGAACTATGTAAAAACGGCATGATTCATGCCTGTTGCCCTCAGGGGAAGATCTCAGTGCCTGACAGGGGAGAGAAACCCCCCCCTCGGGTTTCTGGCTTCTGGGCCTCATGTCGGTGCTGTCTCTCTGCTTCTTCCCCTGACCTCTGTGCCCCCCCCCCCGTCCCACAGGCTTCCTCGGCCACGGGTCGCATGCTGGAATCGCAGGCCATGAGCGAGCTGAAGGTCGAGATGGTGTCCCTGAAGGGGCTTCTGCTCAGCAGGTATGTCGCCCTGCCAAGTGGGGGCGCCGGTGTTCCCAGATCACGGCGACATCATTGGATGGCAGCACCGGTGGAGAGAGAGGGTGTCATATGTGGTGTTCGTGCATGAGGTCCCTGATTTACCATCAGGAGCCAAGCATCTGTGTCCCAGGTTCAGGTACTAAACCAGCTTAACCAGCCTAACCAACTGCCCACTCTCTTACCAGCAATTTAAAGAGAGCGCACAGGAAAAGTCGGGATCAGTGTCCTGTCTGCTGATCTGTGCTCCCCCCCCTGCAGAAGGCGTGCGGCATGCGAGTTTTGGGAGGGGCGCGTGGCAGCCTCGTTACTGGTTAATGAGCCCTGATGTGTGCAGAGCCCCCCCAGCCCCCCCCCCGCAGCCACATTTCCTGCTTTGTTCCATCAATATTCATTTGATTATGCGTGTGATGCAGATGAACTCGTAAGTAATGGTTTACATCTGAAAAATCATGAAGATTAAAGCTTTTCCCAAACCCCTTAGTTTGCACATAGTTGTTTTACATTTTAATTAAAATCCTTTTCTACTCGGCTGTCAGTTATCGTGCAAGGCCTGCGGAGGCAGCGATGCGCGGGCGACACCGCCGGCGAGTCCCGCTCGCTTTCCCAACAAGTGCCAACTTTTAATGTCTGATTAAAAATGTGCCGCGATTAAATCACAGTGCCGGCTCCGTGCTTTTGATGGGAGTTTCAGCTTCCGTCTCGCCATGCTACCTACAGGGGGCGCTCTCTAGTCTGGTATCCTTATTTGTTCAGTCATGATGATGATGATGATGATGATGGTGGTGGTGGTCATGATAACCTGCGCCCCCCCCCCCCCTTTTTAGGAGACAGTTCCCAGCAGCACCCTCTGTCCCAAAGATTCCCTCATGGCAAATCCCCTTGAAACCGGGTGCACTCTCTGGCGCCCCCTCTGTCAACCACAACAACAGCAGCAGTGACATCTCGCCCGTCAGTAACGAGTCGGCCTCCTCGTCCCCTGTCAAGGAGGGCCACAGCCCCCAGGTGCCGCTGGCGGGGCCCCTGGGCCTGGGAGGCGATGGTGTTGGCTTGGGCCCCACACTGCCCGTTAACCTGAAGGACCAGGTGCGCATGGAGGTGCAGGGAGAGGAGGAGAAGCGAGAGGACGAGGATGAAGAGGAGGAGGAGGAGGAGGAGGATGATGAGGAGGAGGAGGATGAGGTCGACCACATGAACGAGGGAGAGGAGCACCTGAGTGTGCAGACGGAGGACCGTCGTGGCGGCGACGGGCAGATAAACGAGCACGTCGACAAGCTGCGGCGGCCTGAGGGGGCCAGCAACGAGAGCGAGGTGGACTAGGGCCCCGCCCCACACGGCAGCCGCGACACCCCCCGTCTCCGGCTTTCGGTATCCATGGTTGTTTGAATTTTCTGTGTCGCCATAATCATCCCGAGAAACCAGTCAGGACACTTAGCCCAGAAGGTGAAGGTCCAGAGCCTCACGCTGCTACTCCCATTGCTTAGCTTCCGGCCACGGACACGTGTGGCATGACCAGGGCGAGGTGGCACTCCGGAGGCGTACTGAGGTCAGCGGGAGGGACCGGGCTGTGGGCGGCTAGCAGTCATTCCCCCGCTTTCCCCTCTCTGTGGTTGAGGCCACGTTCTGGTTGATACGGGAAACTGACGGAAGCCTCCTTTCCACCGTTCCGCCCGACGCAAAGACTAGGACCCCAGGGCTGTTATCACTGTAACTATCTGTCTGCTAGTTAGACTGTCTCCACTTTCCCTTCCTCGGAAAAACCGGGCTGCAGCGACGCCAAAGAATTCTAGCGTGGACCCCAAGCATTTTACCGGCGGGGGCGCTGGCCCGTCGACCACACAGCGGAGCAGAAGCAGGAACTCTGGCGCCCCCTGCAGCAGCGGAGGGCGACTCTGCCGTCACCTTGGCATCCATTAGACGTGACTCTGAGGTCGTGCCTTCTGTCTGTGCGTCGTCTTCTGGTGCGATGCGACTCGGTGTTTGTGCAAATGTTTATTCATGGGCCTCAGCCCCCGCGTCCCCCCCCCGTCCCGCTCGCTGTTACTCCTTCCTCCGCTGCATCTCCGTCTCCAACTGTGCGGCTGATTCGGTTTATGAAGTATGTTAATAATCAAATGATCAACAAATAACAGATGTATTAGTTCATGCGGCTTGAAATGTCAAGGAGGCTAAAATGGAAAATCTAATACCGAAAGCCTGTTATATTATATTATATTACATGACAAACCCTCCAGTCCAAATTATATAGGCCTCCTACAGTGAATAATCTTAACATGAAACGGCACTGAGGTTTTTGTAATTAAACTGTGTAAAACAATGGTGGTTGCAGCATAACTGATGACAGTTCTGCCTCTTTACTGGTTCCTGCTGCTGATAGTGGGGGTGAGAGATTTGGGGGGGGCACCCTCCATTGTAAATGGAGAGTAACATATGAATACTTAACTAATGAAATTAGTCATTCATCCAGCTGACAAAAAAATCCCTCAAGTGAGAATTACAGTATAGGGTCTGTCGTGGAGTTTTCACTTTTAACAAATGGTGTCTCGCACTAACGAAATAAAGACACGGTCTGGTGAAACGTTCACAGTGACTCGAGTGGTTTGTGCGTCTGCGCTGGCCAGGCCGCCCCCCCTCCCTGCTTCACTGTTACCCTGAGTTACGGCACAGGCAGTGCGCAGCATCGGATAAATTAAAGGAGGGGGGGCAGAGAAACGACTGCTCAGACGCCAGAAGGCCTCGGAGCCCCTCGGCAGGCAGCACCTTGGGCCGAGCGGGAGGTGGAACGGCCTGGCGCCCCGAGTGCCAGCGATAAGCTGCGGATCAAAGGCCCCAGGGAGTCAGCGCCGCCGTCCCAGCTCACAGAGGACGCTGGTTAGTGTCCCAGACCTCAGCCTGGGAGTGATGCGTCGGCGAGGGGCGGGGCCTGTTCCTGTGACCTGCACCTCACAGGCAGCCATGCTTGTGACTCCAAACGCCGCCTTTTTTCCTCCTTAAATGCGGCAGCTTTCTGTCATGGCTCCCGATTTAGTCGTCTGCCGCTTATTTGCGAGTGTGTGTAAAATTCTGAGGTCAGAAGCAACATGTGTATGAAATTGTAATAAATCTGATTTAACACAGTTTCGCCAGCTTTTGGAGGATTTGTTTGGTTTTAATATTTTTTTTTAACACATCCCACATATGTTGTCAGCTCAACAACGTGCTGAATGTTACATGGTTTTACGCTAAAGCTCGTTAGCGTATCATTACAAAGAAATAATCCTGGCTGATTTGCTGCGCCGGTTTAATGCGACGTGCGGGTGAGTGGGTACTGCAGCTCCTTCCTAATGCCGACTCTCTTCCTCTTGTCTTTTTTTATTTCCTTAAAACTCGCCATCAGCGTTCTTCCTGATGTTTCCAATGGCATCTCCACCGTGAGTGTCCGATCGATAAACCTTGATCCTAAAACGGCATTCTAAAAAAAAAAAAAAAAAAAAATCCACTAAAGTAAGCAATACGAATATTCCAGTGCATTATCAAGTTTATGAATTTAATTTGTCTGTCGAGGCCCGGATGATCGATGGCATTGCACGTATTGATGTGGTGCATAAACTTGAGGGCTCGATAGCCCATCCCTTTGTAATCCATTAACCTCTCCCAGGAGTTCAGTCCTACCTGAGATTTATAGGGGCTGCTGTAATAAATGCACTTGTACATCATTTAGGACCCTGTGGGACTTTGAGTGCATTCTAGCCCAGGAAGGTCCTTTTCCTCAGTGTAACCTAGTGTTTCTAAGTGCTGGTATGGTGACACTCAGGCTGCGTGTGTGTTTTAAAGAGCAGCAAAGGCAGCCTGCCGTAGGATGAGGGCCCCACTCTTTGAAAGTGTCCTGATCTGGGCTATCTTGCCGTTGGCTGGCTCACTAAGCGGGGGGGCACTTTCCCCGATGGCATATTGATGCGACTGTGACCCCGCCCTTTTCAAGGCGACCGAGCCTCTTGGCGGATCAATAGGGCGCGATGACTTACCCTCCCCAGTCCCGCGGCTCTGGCTGGCAGACTGCACCCGACTATGAGTGCATCGGATTGGTGGACGTAGGTCATGGAACTTGGTGCTTGTGGAGGTATCCCTAAAACCCAAAATATTTAACAGAAGCTCCATTTCTGGGACTTGAGCTTGCAACGTTCAGGTCCAAAAGCTAGGCACAGGAACGATAAACTGAAGAGGAACCAGGCGGCGTAGAGGTTCTGGACCTCGACATACTTGCAGCTCATTTTGATTTGTTGACATTTTCTCCGAGCGAAGGGCCTGTTTCCCACCTTCTAGAATATCCTGTTCTCCTTGGGAATCACCTGTGGGCCAGGTCATGTGAAGACTTGGCAGATATCGGTAAAGACACTTCAAACACATGATACATGATCCCAGCTCCTGCTCTGGAACTTCTGACAGCTTGCTTGTACTATTAAACCTAATGCCTGATTCCACTCTTGCAGTCTTTATTCTTGCCAAAAGAAAATAGCCAAGGGAGTAGATTTAAGCTTTGAATGATAGTTTCCTGCACCTCGCTGAAATTAATATTATAATCGGAAATGTAGCTACCGATGGTCACCGTTCACTAAAATTACCAGCTCGTGATAAGTGGCGATAGTGGAACAAATGGAACTTTTTGGCTTTCCTGACTATAGATTAACCACTTCAGAGATCCTCTTTGATTGCACAGTAACTGAGCCACATAAGAAAAAGCAGCTTCTAAAACTCTGCAGCCCCTGTGGCCTTCGAGGGCTGGAGATCCCCAGCCCTGACTCAGAAGGCAGCTCCTTATCTCCAGGGAATCTGTCTCACATTTGCCAGCCTCTTCTCTCGGATGCGAGGTGCCATGCGGGCGGCTGAACGTTTAGACGCTGATGGAAAAATGATTCCACCAGCTATCAGTGTGAACCCGCTTGAGGGTGATGAGGCACTTTCCCTCTTCACTCTGTAATTTTTCAAGTTTAAAGATTACACTGTTGCAGCATGAGTGTAATTTAGGGATGACGTTGTGCTTGTGTTTTAATGTTTCTGACAGCTAACTCTCCGTATGTGGAGAATGCAGGCAGCAGACCCAGGCAGGCCCTGATATCTCGGTCGCCCAGTTTGGATGGAGAGACGCCTCGCAGTCCCCCCCTAATGAAAGGGAGGCTGGTAGGGGCCTCATAAAACACATTGTCATCACTTCTTATATAAACTCTCAACAATGAGGGCTGGGGGGGGGAAGGGGGTCACATTGTCACCTTGGTGTTATTCGATGTTCCACCCTCCCCCCGGCGATGTTCCTAGTACTGATGGGACGTGGGGGGGGCTGGATCCCCAGACCAGTGCTGATCCGCCGGGTTGAAAGTTCAAGAACAAAAGGAATCGGGTGGGGATGAGACTGAAAACAAGGGAGGGCTTTTTCAGACCATTATTTACGGGAGGCCCAGCATTGTGCGTGATTCGGGGGGGGACCGAAGGGGGGCAGGCAGCTGGCATGGGGGCTTCCAGCCAATGATGTTTACTCTGCCAGGCCAAGCCATGAAGCTTTTATTTATTATTCAGGGATTGACTGGGCACCATTTTAGACCTCGTCCACCTGTCCCTCTCCTCCGGCTGCCAAACTAGCACAGGACTTTGTGGTAGGTGCTGCAGCTTCAGAGATATTTCGATAAGCCCTTGGGACAGCATGGTGGTTAATCTGAAGTCTGCCTGTTCATGTCTTTTGGGGATTCCTCTCTTGTACCCTTGAGCCGAATATTTAACCTGCATTTCTTTGCCAAAGATGTTGAGAAAAAATGTTGAACCAGCAACCAAATCAGCGTGGCAGGGCAGCAATACAATGACTGAAAAGGTCGAGCTGCTAAACAAGACATACGCTTGTCCTTCCAAGTAATATAAGGAGATTGCTCTTGTACCTTAAATCTAGCTGTAATCCTAAATAAATCTAATAAAGTACCCATGTGCAAGCGCAAGCAGCAAAATAAAGATTGCAAACACAAACATCTGCCAAGAAAGTTGTTTAAAATGATTCCCTGTTGATTATTTGCAACCCCAGAGTAACGAAAATAATGAACTGCACTTGCACAACAAACAGAGGAGACACTGTCAGTGTCCCTTATGTCTCTGCTCTATGTGGAAATAATGCTATAAACACACAACATCATGCATCCTGATAAAACACAGCTACCCCTCCCGCAGCGGGGCGGGGGGGGGGGGGGCGGCTTTGCCAATCAGACTGCAGTTTTGTGTCTTAATTATAAATATGAATGGCATCACTGTAGGCATCCTTATTACTGTACCCAAATAATTACAAGCAGCCTTTTTCCTGTCTTATCCCGGAGCTTAACTTCCAATGATTAAGAAATGTAAAAATGTCTGACGCCTGGAGAAATATCTTGCAATATTGCTTGTCTGTCAAGAAAAGCCTCCCACTGGTTTGCTGTGCTAACGCACAGCGCTGCCGCGCGGGCGAGTCTGAGGTGCCGCCCGTGTGCGTGTCGGAGCCAGGCATAGGCAGACTAGGCAGCGGCCTGCAGCCCCGTCAGCGTTAGGGAGCCCAGACAAAGTCACGCAAAAATATATATATTCATTATATATCATAAATAACTAATTACACAGTATTTACAAGAAATAATTACATAAAATTAAAAAAATAAAACTGCTTCAAATTAAAATGTCTATGTGCAGGCAGAGACATGGTCAGCTATAAGGAGAATAGGGAGCTGCCTAAGGCCCCCACTTTACCTGCATTGTGGAGGAAGTGAAATGATCACTGATTTTCTTTGTAGGGGGCCTCCCAAGTAAAGTTTTGTCTGGAAAGGTAAAGCCATGTCTGTGTGTGTGTGTGTGAGTTCTATCTCCTGTTGTGTCGCTACTATTGCTAGAATAACCTTATCATCCAAATTCAGCCTGAGCTTCTTCATTCAAAATGCTTTCCAAACGTTTCAGCCCTTAAAGTGGATAAATTCACTGATGAGTGCATGAATGAAACGCAGCGCAGCTTGCTGGGCCTGTGCGCCGCTCACAAAGGCCCAGACCAAATTCCTCTGGTAACAGAAACCCAGGTTCATCAGGGTACACTATCTATTATTAGCATTGGCAGAATATCCACAACCTGCCCTCCTTCCGCGCTGTAAATGTCACGTTGCTGATGTATTCCATATTAAATTACAGAGTTTTAAGTGAGCGAACATGTTGGAGGATATCAACGGCCATAATGTGGAAGATTACCATGGTCCTAACCCACCTGTTTCCACTCTCCTCGTGCGAAGGGCATAGCTGTGGGGCTGAAAAGCCCCCCCCCTTTAGCAAGAAGCCCGCCCCCCCGTTTCATACTTACTGTTCTGTTCGCGATAAAAAGGTAGAAAGCACGCAGGCTCCTGGACATGTAAAGCAGCTCAGTTTTCCCATGCCGCTGTTTGTTTTCATCGTTGGCAGATCTGAGCTTCCTGCATAGTCTCTGTGCCCTTGGATAGGAAAATCCTATTTGTTTTTTTGCATCATTATGAAATACCAGTATTTAATCTGGGAATTATTGCTTTTGGAACTTAGAATGATGATTTTCCACCTTCTGTTACTCATTTCGATATAAGGAAATGTCCACATTAACGCACTGTGTCGTTTTTCGTTTTGTACTTTGCACACATACTCATTTTACTATACTTTGAACTGCTTGGCCAGCGATTTGGGGTTAAGCGACTCCTTCAGCGCCGTAACACTGCTTGCTCTGCGTGTGTAGATTCACTTCCTGTTCCAGACCACAAACTGGTGCCCATTGAGAATAATCAGCGACCCGGGCCGGGCTTAACGCTGCAGTTTCGCCCCTCGTATCCGAAGGCTTCACTGCCTTTCATCGCGCTGCCGCCGACGGTTCCGATCTCGCTTGATCCGTTTGCGCAGCGCGGCTGCTGCTTTCGCTGAGTCTCTGCCATTTCGGCTCACAGCCAAGCCCCTCTGCCCTCCTCATCACCACCGTAGCCTCCACGACTAAACGGCTCTGGTCCCTTCGGACCTCCGTCAAATTAACCCGATCGACAGCTTGGCACTGCCCGGAAAGCGGGTTTTACTGGTGTGCGGCGGTGTGGGGGCGGCTGCGGCTTTGGATGGGACCGAGCCACCGCTGCTTCGCTTTTCGTCCTGGTTAGAAACGATGGCAGCTTCTGCCTGAGCGGCTCTGCGTATTTTAAACGAAATGCTTGAAATGTGATGGTTCCATGACTACACTACAGCAGATCATCACTTTTATGCGCGTATTCTGCCACGCGACTCCCCATTCATTGTTTATTCTCGTGCAGACGTGATAAACAGAATGAATGGTTAATTTATAGCGTGATATGCACTTAGAAAAAAGCAAGGTAACGTTTGTTATTTTTCGGTAAACAGTTGCGCAACAAATTTGACAGGCATTTCCCTTTTACAACTATGTTTCAACTTCGAGTTCTTCGGATTATATTTAAATTTGTTAAACAAATACGGCTCAGGATGTACCTTTGCGTTAACTAAATGACTATCGTGACTATTCTCTGCCAAATGAACCACTGCCTGCCTGCGTGACTGACTTCTGTGCTACTGCATGGACGCTCAGAAACAAAACCGCTAGCATTGCCCACAATTTAATTATTAAGGAGTCTGTGTTCAACCGGATACTTCTTAATGACGTTGCAAATTGTAGCGTAAATACCTATGGAATGTAAATCAAATCAATGAATGATCACCTTTAATGAAATGTAATTAAACTTTGGTTTTAATTAAGCCACATTTGTCTACAGTTCAGTTAAACGAAACTAAATAAATGTAGCTGCTTTTTGCGCAAGCTATTATCCGTTTTTTTTATAGCAGCCGTAACTAAAACCATCCTAAATTTGGTTATTTTAAAAAACGGGTTCAATATTGTGCAACATCTGCGTACTGCGGACGTGGTTGGATTTTTTAGTTTTAAGGACGGTATGTGAAAACAAGTTCAGTCTAGTGTTGTTCACTGAAGACATTGGATTTTTTTTTACTTGTGTAATTGCATAAATAACCCTGTAGCTTGTAAATAAGATGCTTTAAAGGCACCATATTATCCATCAGAATTTAATCATCCGAATAAAGTGATAAGGCGAAAACACGCAGTTCTCGGTCCCGTCTCTTAAGCGGAATCCAGCCAGTAAAACACACCTTTCGACGGATGTATTCGCTCAATCGTGCCCATTTTACATGATCAAAATTTTGTGTGTTAAACCTATACTGCTGTCAAACTCATATTTAGCACCATTAACGTAAAAGGTAAACTTTTTTTGCACTATTATGATCATTAAAAGTATCATAGTTGCCAAGTATATACACCATAGCAATGTCTCTAATTGGCGGTATGTAGCCTATTGGAAAACACACATTTCCCCCCAAAATGGTAAAAACGACCAACATGTGAGAATAGTTCAGTATTTTCCCCCCGTGTTTATCAGCCATTGTACATATAAATTTATCCTTTTTGTCTACAGTCGCTGATACAAAATCACAAGAAATTAGGATTTAATCTGCTCAGAAGGATCTACACCGCTCGCACGCAGATACTTTTAAATAATGAAACTAAACTGGAACTCGCTAGGCATTTTTTAAAATTCCTTCAAAAAGATGAACATTAAATTCAATGTCCTTATTTATGTCCAAGAACTGATTGGCATTCATTTGAATGTTACCTGAAAAGTGTTACATAATTATTATTAAAATGTACAAGATAATAGGTGAATGTTCTAACTTTCACAATGTAGGCTATAATGTGAATTTTTAAAAGTAGGCTAGCTGGACTTTACGGGGATTTTAATTTCCACTCGGTGTGTATTAAAATATTTGTATTGGATGCTTAGTTATAAAAAGACGTCCTGATTTGCTTGTAAGCATTAAGCGACGAGGACCTGCACAGGCAGGTGACTCCAGTAATAACTGGCCGTGGCGTTAGCTATCAGGACAGCCCGTGTTAAGTCGCTTCGTGCCCCGGTGCTGATGCTACGCTTTGCTATAACAACTCACCGTGAAACCACAGACAGGCGCAAGACAGCCATCAGGACCCGCATCGATTTAGACAGTTAAAGCGTCAGTTTAACCAAGCGGGTCAACGCCATTTGACAAGTTTTACTTCAATTTCGAAGCGCTCCTTCACCCACTTTTGATACGACCTCACAATACTACAGGTATATTCAGCGCACAGTGAAATGGCGACGCGACAGCAGGGCCCGACATGAAACACGGCTTCCAATAAGGTCTTGTTAATCTTAAATTGGCTGAGTGTGTGTCCAATTCCCCCTTTCCTTTGGGGTCCCTGATCTTAATTTTTCATTCAAGCAACAGCTGCTACCGACGCCAAGCGGCCTTCCAGCTATTTACCACGTCTCCGTGCTACTACGCGTCTCAAAATAAACACGCACATAAATGAATAACTGCATACATCAATAAATAGAAATAGGAATGAGAGTGAATAATACAAAGAAAACTGAAAGAAGGCATAACGTAAATGTTTTTAAGATTAAAAAAAAGTTTTACTAATTTACAAAAGGTAAATTTCTGGGTATATTTGCTCTAAATTCCTTATGACTTGCTTGCAGGTGTTATGCAGCCACACGTCAACGTGCAACAATTTGCAAAAGAAAGTTCTAGTTTCAGAGGTAGGCTACGTTTGATTCAACTAATAAACAATAAGATTCGAGCAGGTGTCCGATGGCCAGTGCCCGACGTGTATTGGGACTGACACCGCAACAGTAAACACGCGGGCAACGCAATACCCTGCGGACTACGCGGATAAAATATACAATTCTGTTTCCTATCTTATTCTGTTTTCATCTTAACAGACGGGACCAACTGCTCTCCGCTGTAGGTTTTTGCGGCGTGAATCTAACGAAAGCTGCCATTAATGAGTTGCTCATCTGATTTTCGTAGCAGGCTGTCTTGAACCTGGCGTGTGACTGCTGGCGTTTACACATACGCGGTGCACACCTGTTCGCGTACCTCCGTCCGTAAACCGTCGCTGTAGTCGCAGCCGCTGACGCGAACGCCCGGCGCTCGCCTCCGACATGCCGAACGTGCGCGCCGCTGTCAGTGCGCAACGCACCGGCGGTGAACATCTGACCGTCCGTGTTCGTGTATTAACGCACGCAAGGACACTCGATTAATCGTTTGTAAGGTTTTAATATAGAAACTACTTTTTTTTTTTTTTTTACTTATCGAAGATAGTATAGTAGTAGTTTACAAGGCTACTATATGATTATGTTGTATTATATGGTTATATTTTGATTATATGTTAGGTTTACTTTTTAATATAAATTCAAGAATCTAAGAATTTGATAATAAAGAAAAATTAAGCCAAACCGCTAGGCTTCATTTTTCGGGAAGATTTTATTTTATTGAGTGAAAATCTCAACCCTTGCATCAGTCATGCAGAAAAAAAAAAAACAAATAAATAAATAAAACACATTAAATTGCTAACATCACTAAATTCAAGTGGAAAAATATTCAGTTATTAATAACAGGTGCAGAGGAAGCAGATTCAAGTATCAGAGAAACCGATTCTTCGAATAGTATATATATATATATATACCTTTTTTTTTTTTTTTTTTTTTTTTTTTTTACTTTTCTCATATAAAAATGTCATGAATTGTCTCCATGTCCAGAGTGTTTGTGAATCAAGCCATTTCCCCACAGACAGAAAAAACACATTAATATTCAATATGAGCTAGAGATGGCTTTTAGTCCTAATGTGCAATATATATTACAAAGCTAAACTTTTTCTTTTCGTTTGCTACATTGTAGTAATCCCCTTTTTATTTCAGTCTTCAGATAACAAGACATTTAATCCAGTATATTTTTCTTTCCTTTTGTCGGCTAATTAAAACCGTAAAGTGATCTGTCTTTTCAGCAATGGCCTATACAGGATTTGGAGGTCGTTTCCGTCTGGTTTTTGTTTAATATAATTTTCATGTTTATTTTTTTCTGGATTATATACAGGCTGGCAGCTGGCTGACAGATGGTGATGCCTTTACCCGTTTTTATTTAAAGAAACATCACAGGAAAACGGAGGTGGTGGGGGGGGGGGGGGGTGGTGGTGGTTATGAGCAGCTGTAGGCGGAGGGACTGCATGCGGGTCATTGTGTGGCGGATCAGGAGCCAGACGACCGGCGATCGCACTCCTCTCCGATGGCGGCCGTACAGACGCGAATCCCTGCGGCACCGGCGACGGAAGGAATTCTTTCGTGTTAGACTAGGTGAGCCGCAGAGTGCAGACCGCAGGGCACGAGGTTAGGGGCTGTTTCTACATCAGAAAATGCACTGAAGTTTGCAGAAGCCTCTTTTCCCTCAAAGCGGCAACAAATGCGGTTGATTCCATACTTGCACCTATAACTCCCTCACGCTGGGAAAACGGGGGCTACGTCACACACCAGAAGTACTGCATGTCCTTGGACATCCGAGCTCAGCAGCTGGGAGCGGCAGAGAAGGCCGTCGTGGAGAGGGACAGTTCAGTATCACATCTCGAAGACGTCTGCCGGCTCTTCTTTAATGGAAGAGAAAGCGGTCATACCGTACAGTGTTGTCTGCCACTGTCGGGAACATGTCCTTTAATGCTAAACAGAAAGCCCCCCGCCCCCGCCGCCTGGCTGATCCCCGACGTCCCCCTTCCCTGCGCCCCCCCCACCCCCACCCCGGTTGCTGTCACTGGGCACCCAGCATTACTCACAATGGATCTCGTAAGCCTGCGCCGAAACATTAGCTTGCACATTTGTATTGTTATAATAATTATATTTTCTTTATTTTCCACTTTTTACAAATCCTGCTATTTTACACACATAAAATTGTATTCAAGTGCACAATATGCCTCCCAGCCCAATTTCTATTTCAACAATTCTTTGAAGGGGAACAGTCCAGGAGAGGCAGAAGCCTTGAGTTTGAGACCGGAGTGAAGCGATGAGTTGAGGCGTGCTCGAAAAAAAAAACGTTGAGGACTAATTAAATAATAAGAAAAACACACAAAACTGTGACAAAGTGGTCATGGCGTTAAATAAACTAGGAACACCAATTGACAAATCTAATCAGTGTGTTCGCCGTTATTCTTAAAATCCCTAACAACAGATTTTTTTTCTAATGCAAAAAATTCGACCCGAATTAACCAGTTTTCGCTTGCAGTGCTACAGTCTGTCGGGGGCGCTAAATTATTTGTTTCTAATCCTAAAAAGGGCAAAACGGAAAAATACTCACATACACAAGCGAACTACATCGGTACTATTTCAGAATTTCGTTTTTTTCCATTTTCCTTTTTCACCTTTTTTATTCTTTTCGGTTCTTACTGGAAGCGTTTCATCAAAGAGCATTTTGTTCATATATATTTTGTTACAGAAAAATACTGTACAGCTTTTTTTCTTTTTTTTGAGACAATATTGTGAAGATAACCATCTACACATTTAATCACCTATACCATATATTCTTTGAAAGAGAATGTTCCAGAAATAATTTAATGATAGCATTCCCTGCTCCTTGATTTTACACCGTCATTCCTGAAGAAAGGTACAGTCATTCATTTTCAACCAAGATTCAGACCTGGCTACAAAAAAACAATTTTGTACTTTAGATCTCGTCTTTATAAAGAATCGGTTACAGTCCTTATTAGTGTAATTAATTATTAGCGTTTCTCAATGGACACACATCTGGTGCTCCTTTACCATAGTCATCAAATCATGGAAGCAAAAAAGAACAAAAATAAAATCAGTCCTTACTTTAAATTAAACACAGAATAACAGTTCTTTGTCACACTTACAATTATTTGTGCATCAAAACAAACTAAAACAACGTAAAGCGATTTCCCTGTCCAAAGATATATGCCGTATTTTTCATGAAGTAAAAACGGTCCTAGAAAAGTGCAAAACACCCTAAATTCTCATTGCAAGGTCACATAAATATTAAATAAAACCGTTACAACCGTATCTCGGCCACTGTCATGGTCGAGGGCAAAACAACGAAAATCGACAGTTTTCTTTCTGTACATTTCACACGAACACACCTCCCTCTCCCCAGCATCGGACACATCCCCCAAATACCCCACGCCCCGTCAAACCCTCTTTTTCTTGTTTATTCGACCTTCAACCCGCCCACCCGAAGATGATTTTCACGACATCTCCTTAATTACTCTCTCACAGGATACGCCAGAGAATGCCTTCATCTCCCTAGTCATTTTCATCTATTGGTTCATGCTACACAACTTGTATTTAAAAGAAAAATCAGCTCTTCGTTCCCTACGCTGACCACGGTCCAGTCCACTAGCAGGCCCATCCATCAGCAGTTCCTTTCACTGTTCGCGTGGTGCCAAGAGGAAAAAAGAAAGAAAGAAAGAGAGAGAGAGAAGCTTGCCTTTGGTTATTCCTGCTGCGGAACGTGGCGGTGTAACGAGCGGACCTTGGAATTTCAAACATCCCAAACTTGTGTTTTCGGCACGCGACCCCCGTTAGCTAACGTCAGGCGCCGTTATGGGGGAGGAGGGGGCTGTTCAGCAGGAGCAGCACTCTGACAGCTCAGCAAGGTGTGTGTCGGTTTGTTTCCTACCTGCTCCCCCCCCCCGGGTGTGTGAGTGACTCTGCTCAAACTTCTGCCCGCCCAGATCGAGGGAACGTTATTAGCCGGCACTGGCTGCGGGGGACCGGAGCTGCAGGGCGGCCCGGTAAACGGGTCCCGCCGCGCCTGCGCTCTGAGACAGAGAGAGCGTGTCTAAGCAGGGGAACACGGAACGGAGAACCAGCTTTCAGCGACTGCTGGAACGTCAGAGCACTAGTGCGGAAACCCTGCACTGTAATAGTAATGATAATAACAATAATGCATTGCGTTTTTCCATTAAACTCCATTATTCTACCACATCCTCTTTAATAAATCTCCCCTATATATATTTGTACAGTGATTTCCCTTTAACAGGTAGAAAGGGTTTAGCAGTTTGTGTAATGACCGCACACTTACAGTTCCCTTTGTATATCGATATCCACACACCTACTGTATATAGTTATACATATATTATGATAAATGTTTTTTTCTTATGGTGTTTTTACCACACATGAAAAAAGTAACAAACAAAAGAAAAATAAATTAAATTCAAACATGCACGCACACAAGAAAGAGCGAAGTGTAAGAAAACATCGACGTTTTGCACCCACGTGTAAAAGAGCCTCATTGGGCAGGTCTTCCGTTTGTTTTTCTGTATGCATACTAAAACGAATAACGTTGGTCATCTTGTAAACATGAGAGCGGATCGCTGAGGGCCGTATTGCCGCCTCGTCCTCGACGCCAGCCCTTGGCGTGACACACAAGGCCGCAGGTCCTGTTTGTTCGTATCCCGCCAGATCCTGCTTCAGCTTGGGTGCTTCACAGTTCCGCCTCGCCCTGCTCCACGGGGGACGCGCTGACGTGGTTTGTGGGAGCATCGAAGCCCACTCCGCTGTCCTTCTCCCCGTCCATGCCTTCCGGCTCGGGGATAGAATCTTCGTACGAGTCTGTGTTCAGGTCTTCCTCGCCCTCCTCATCCTCCTCGTCTTCATCTTCCTCCTCCTCCTCCTCATCCTCCTCCTCGTCCTCCACGTTCATCTCCTCCTCGGGTGAGAGGTCGTCCTCGGCGTCATTGTGGGGGTGGGGCGGGCCGTGTGGGCCGGTGGGGCCGAGGTGAGTGGTGCCGATCGATGAGGGCGTGCCCAGCGGCCCACGCTGCATCGCGCCACTCAGGTCCAGCGAGTCGCTCAGACCAAGACCGGCCGTGTTCTTGAGGAAGAAGAGAGAGCCACCGGTGTCCGTGCCTAGCGTCAGGGAGCTGTCCAGGCTGACACCGGAGGTGGGGGTGGGGCCATCAAATGCTGGGGCGTCGCTGGTCGATGGGAGAAAGGCGGCGGGACGGTGCTGCGGGATGCAGTGGGGTCTGGAGCCAGGTGTGGCCATGCCAGGCGGTGGCATAGAGGGGGCCATGTGGGTGTCCCTCCCGGGTGAAAGGGCCTGCAGCTCACCGCGCTCCTGCTTGCCGTGCTTGCGCTTGTGCGAGTCCATCTGCGACATGCCCACCACTGTGTGCTTGCAGTCAGGGAACGTGCAGTGGAAATGCGAGCACTTGAGCTTGTACTTGCAGTCGGCCACCTCACAGTCGGTGCTGGAGCTGAACTGGCAGAAGCCGGCGGCGCTGATGACGTCCTGCTTGCCGTGGTGCTTGCGGTGCGCCGTCACCTTGGTGCTGTCCGTGCAGCGGAATCCGCAGCGCAGGCAGTGGAAATGCGTGCTGTTCCCTGAGAACTGGCAGTCGGGGAAGTGGCAGCTCAGCGATGACTTGAAGCGCTTGAAGTCGTCCAGCACCAAGTTGTCCACGCGGTCATGGTGCTGCGCGTGCTTGTACATGTGCGTGCGGCCGCAGAAGCGGTAGCCGCAGTTCTCCCGTGTGCAGTGGTAGTGCGTCACTTTCAGCGAGAACTGGCAGCCACTGTCCTTGCAATCCTCATAGAGGTCATAACGCCGGAAGCCATCCAGCATCATGCCCTCGTCCAGCATCTTGCGTGAGGATGGTGTCTTGCGGCGTTTCCCAAAGGGTGACATGTCCTCGATGATCCAGAAGCGCTTCTTGGCCCCAGTTGCCGTCGGGATGGAGATGGTGTTGCCTGGAGTGAGGGGAGGGGGGCGGGTGGGGGAGAGCAGGGACCGATCATTAGCCAGCTACAGTAGCGAACCGCCTCAGAAGGTGCAGTACTGACTGACCACATGTCCTTGTCACATGACCTCCCAAAAGGGGGGTAATCAGGGAGAAGAAGCAGCTGCCTTTGTACTCTAACTCACAAATACGACTTAACGTGTTCAATAACCCCCCCTCCCCCTCCTGGGTTAGAAGAATTGAACCCTGTGACATTGCTCTATAGGTCACTAGGTGGTGTGGTGGCTAAGGAGCTGAGCTTCACCCGCCCACCCTCCAGCAGAACCAGAGATCACAGTTATAGTCTCACACTTTGGGACACTTGGTGTGTGGCGACCTGAAGCTCAGCTCCTTAGGAGCCGTGTGGCCTGGCAGACTGAGGGTGAGGTGGGCACTGCCCATGTGGGGCATCCGGCGACACCGGCAGGCTGCGGGTGAGGAGGGGCACTGCCCAGACGGGGCATCATGTGACACTGGCAGCCTGCGGGTGAGGTGGGCAGTGCCCATGCAGGGTGTTTACCAGACAGAGCAAGATGGAGGCAAGTGATACATACAGTATGTGGATATACAGCTTGTGTGTGTGTGTGTGTGTGTGTGTGTGTGAGCTGCCTGGATCTATCTTCTCCCTGCTTGTAGACAAACAGCTATCTTACTGGCAGGATGTGCAGATGGAGGCAGGTGAGGTTGGGGTGCGTATGTCTCCCATCGTGAGGTGCATGACCAACCGGCCGCCCCCCCCACCTGGGCCAGCCAGCCACCCCTGTCAGTGTGCTGGCTCTGCCTGCTGCGTGTGAGTGTCGCAGCTAGCCCAGCCTGCAGTGCGGTCTGCACTCTGCACACTGCCCCCTAGAGGAGGGACCCAAGCATGCAGAGTGTACCATTGCCACGGCGCTGTGCTAGCTGCGGCGGCTGCGTGTCTGCCGGCGTCCGGGGACAGGTACCTGCGGCATCCTGCACTATAGGGACGTCGCTTTTAACCGGAGACGGCGCGGCAACGATCGGACTGAACGCCGGCGTGTTGGTCGGCATGACAACACCCCGGGTGGCTCCGAGGGAGGCGCTGAGCAGAGAGTATGACAGACAGGATGGAGAGAGGAGGTATGGCAGCGAGGGGAGGGGCGGCCGTAGCAGGGCCGGGGGGAAAGGCGAGGCCGTGGGCTGCAGTGGAGGTAGCAGAGAAGGTGGAGGAGGAGGAGGTGGCGGTGGAGGAGGTGCATTGTGGGTAGCGGAAGTGTCAGCGGGGGCGATGGCAGCAGGAGCAGGGACCTGGCAGCCTGATCCTATGGAGACAGGTCGTCCAGGAGGGGGGGACAACGACACACGGCACACGCACACAAACACGGCACACGCACACGCCACAGACAAGGGTGGGGAGGCACAACAGGGAGAAAATAAAATAATTGTGATAAAAAAGACAAAGAAAGCCAAAATGAAAACAAAATCCCAAACAACAGCCCAAGCAACAACGATGAGAATGGAAGGTAACACCTGAAGTACAGCGGCTGGAAGAGAGCAATGAGACTCGGCCAGCGAGGGCAGCGTCCGACACACTGCGCACCTGTGCTGCTAAGGGCCCAGGCCGGGGGGCAGTGCGTCCGACACACTGCGCACCTGTGCTGCTAAGGGCCCAGGCCGGGGGCGCATGCAAAGTCTGTAGCGTCACAGTGGGGGCTACTGTATCGTCATAGCTATGTATTCTCTCGAATAAAGTGAAGTAAAATGTACTCATGAATACTGTCTTATTATGTTACTGAATGCTCTGCGGGATACATAAACAGACATCTGACATTAAGCCAGAGGACAAGTGTACCGTACACGGGCTGTGCGCTAATGGTGCTTACAAGCTAACGGCTAACAGGCCAGGCGCCGGCCCTCCCACTGACTGAGGCATGGTCTGCTAAAGGCGCTTACAGGCTAACGGCTAACAGGCCAGGCGCCGGCCCTCCCGCTGACTGAGGCATGGTCTTGCCATTTTTCGGCTGCTCCCGGCAAGCTGCGGATCATTTTTTGGGGTGAGCGTGTGGCTCCTACCTGCCGGGGAGCTGTCGTTGCCCACTGGGGTGCTGGTGCAGCTGCGGTCCTGGTTGGACGACTCTGAGGAAAGGCCGAGCGGGCTGCTGCCGCCGCCCAGGTAGTCCATATACTCGTCTCCGTCATCTGTGAAGCCCGACATGCCGGGCCCCCCGGCACCCGCCGACAGGCTTGCCATGTTCTGCATCTCATCTGGCCTATGGGCATGGGGTACCACCTGCAGGTGGCGCACAGGAGCGGGAATCAGGGGCTCGGCAGACATCATGGTTTAGATTAAATTAAACTACGTGAATCTTCACCAAAAGATAAAGGCCTGGCTGCTACCAGGCAGCCCTGCCAACCAGGGAAGGTAACGCACAAGGTGCACCCTGAAAGGAGTGCTTTAATGTAGTAATGTAATGTAATGTTCACTGGCATTCCGGCTGAACCTGGTCTGTGCTACCCAGAATGCACCCCAGTAAGCTGGCCTGCTTTCCCCAGCCGTTTGTAACAGAGCTGGCTGCTTTGCATACTTGCGACATGCAAATCACTGCTCCTGCCCTTTCAGCACAAATTCTCTGCCTGTCACTCACCCACCGCCCATCAGCCAATGGAGGCCGCGTGCAAGGGGAGTGCAGCGTTTCCGTGGTTACCTGGGAGGGGACACGGTCGAAGTTCTTTCCCAGCATCCTCCTCATGTGCTTGCGGGCGTGGGACGTCATCTGGTGCTTCAGGAGGAAGGAGAAGAGGCAGCCTTCCCGGATGCAGTGGAAATGGCTGTTCACTTGGTTATACTTGCAGCCTGTGTGTGGGGAAGGGTGGGTGTGAGTGGGGGAGCTAGGTGGGGGTACGCACACACACATACACAGACGCACGCACGCACGCACACACACACACACACACACACACTTACTCTCCAACATGGCAGTGGCTCTCTGAGGCAGACTAGCTGACACTACATAAAATAAATCAATCTAGTTCCCTTGACCTAGTGATCCTGGTCACCTTGCCTGACTGCTCTTGCTTACCTTTACACTCAAGCCTCAGGTAACCTCTCATCCAGGATTTATTTACTGAAGTGGTTCCTCAGGGGAGTTGCCAGGCCCGCATGGTCTCTGGAGCACGGCCCTGATTCTCCATGGCATTGGCTGGTACTGTGGCATTTCGGCCTCCATGCTTCAACCTCGCGACGTGTCTGACTCGAGTCCCTAAAGTCTAACTGGAAGGCTTCGAACCTGTGCAGTCGGCGTCACGCTGAGACGCTGCCGCCGAGGACCCGTTCACAGCGAGTCCGTCTCACACTGGAACTAATGAAAGCACCCTTTCCCTACTCGCTGCCTGCTCCTCTGTCAGACAGACAAGCTCATCTCGTTTGGGCATATGCTGCCACGTCCACCGCGAGTGCAGTGCCCCGTGGTGCAATTTAGACGCTTCACGGGGACCCGTTGAGCCATTTTATTGCAAAATTCACTTGCGATGTGCTTTCCTGTTGCCATTAAGTAAATACTAATATTTAGTAACTCGATAAAGCGCAGCCGGGCAACTGCAGTAAACCCATCATTTGTATGACATGTTTTATTTATCTATCAAAATCTTTCCACTGGTATCTTTTCCCTGCGTGTATGGTTGCCTCCACAGATTGTAATTGTTGTATGAATTTAAATGAAGTTGCTGGTTGTTTTCCGAAAGTTAATCCAATATTGTGGCAAGCTGGTATTAATTCTATTATGAATCACGCACGACAAAATAATTGAAAGAACAACATGCGGGGCAGGTGCTGGCACGTCGGTTGTCATGGTGATCGGCGCCCGGCACGAAAGCCACGTGTCATCGAATCGCCTTTGTGCGCGCTGGGCTGGAGCATTAAGCACGCAAAGTTGAGCAAATAACAGTAACTGCTGAAATATCAGGGTCCCTTTGTGAGACCGGATCCAGGTAACATCACCACTGCTGCTCTGTTTACCACCGCTGCCATGGATACCGCTATCGGCGTGCCTCTGAACCATCAATTCTTTATGACTCGAGTGCCTTGCTTTTGTAAAAGTTGAAAAACATTCTAACCCCCTCCCCCCCCCGCACCCGTTCAAACAATGCGACGGGCATATTAAAAACGGGACAAAGAACGACAGATAGAAGCCCTTTTGTTTGTTGTTTTTCTTGTTTCTTTTTTTTCTGTGACGGGCAAACCTTTTTCCTCCGAGAAAATTCACCTTCTCATTTGCTGCAGCGCGATAGTGATCTACCCCTGGCAAAGCGCGGCGACAGAAACACACTGTGACAGACGAGCAGAGTCATTATAGAACTCGTTTAACTGCACGCTGCTGCCAGGTTAAGTACAAACAAAAACCAGCTTCAACTTAATTGCTCCCTATAAACATTTAAGTACATTAATATATTAAGGGATTAAAAAAAACACACATGATGTGTTTAACTCCTCTCTGATAAAACAGCCTCTCACCGCAATGATATGAATAAATGGCTGCTTCATTTTTTTGTAAATGTTTACCAGCTGGTCACACTCCTGTGAGAGAAACATGAGGTTAAACACACTGTGCCAACGGGGCACTGAACGCGGGCGCTGAACGCGGGCACTGAACGCGGGCGCCGTACAGGAGCACTGGACATACTGTGAATATGGACAGTGATAGCAGCCTTGCTGCTGCTAGCGGTTAGCACTTGTGCTTTTATCCAAGTCCTGGCCTGGTGACCCCACCCCCCCATCTCTTTACAGTGCACTGGCACTACATAGCCACTGGGGGCAGCATATATGCTGCTGCTTAAGGGACTGAACGTTGGGAGAGCGCAGGAAGCGAAGCGGGGGGGGGGGTCGTACCAAGCCGGCCGCACTCCTCGCGCTTGGTGAAGTACTTGAAGCCGTTGGCGGCGCGGCGCTCCGCCTTCTCGTGCTTCTTCACGTGCCACGGCAGCTTGGTGGTGATGTTGGTGACGAAGAAGCAGCCAGGCCTCAGGCAGTGGTAGTGGCCGCGCATCCGGAACTCGCAGTGCTGGAGGAGGGACAGCGTGTGACGTCAGGCGGGGCGAGGGGGGGGCGTGATCCTGTAACAGGCCCCTGACACATCGGAGACCTGAGCTTTCTTTGATAAATACAAAAGGCTACAAAGAGATGCTGTGGTCATGAAGATGCCAGTGTCCCCCGATGCCAACGCCTGCTGGCAAGGCTGTGACGCATCAGAGTGTGGGGCCACCCTCTCACTCCACCCCTCACCCAAATCCCGCCCCCCTACAAAGGCTGCAGATTCAACTCATCTTTTCTCTGTCCAGAAATGTCACATTTAAATAACATTTTTTTCTACGAAAATAAAAGATAATTCTTACTCTTTTTGCCAACCTATGCCTTGTTGGCTTTTTCTTTCAAAAAACGCTCTGAAATCATCCATTGAAATGCGATGATTTGCATTTCAATTCACGATTTGCAATTTCAATTTCACCCTTAATTTTCTCAGAGAAACCCCCATTAAACAGGGCGCCACAATAAAGCTTGAAAAAAGTTTCTCAGGAGATTTTTAGTGAAATCCCACAATCAATGGCAGAAACCACCGTGAAAATGAAAGTGAGGCCCCCACTCCCAGGTGGTGGTGGGGGGGGTACCCCAAATGCCCTATCTCAAGAACCATTAAAGATAATGACTTGGAATTTTTTGTGTCTTTATTTGGCATCAAAATCTAACCTGGGCCAATTTCTAATTTCTACCTGCCAGTACCTACTCATATGAGGGGGGGGGGGGTTAGTCTAACTGGGCTGTCTGAGAATAATAATATGAATAATAATAATGGTCATGTGGTCATCATTCCGCCACCATGCACGTTTACCTGCGGAGCAGGGGGTTCACCCTCAGGCCGACGTACCTCACCGGGGGTCAGGGGAACACTCACCTGATTGGGACAGAGGCACTGCAGTGAGTAGTAGGAGAACTGGTCACGCACGTTGACCAGGTTGTTGCTGGGGTTGATGTGGTCCAGACAGTGTGACTCTGCCTTCCCCGAAGTCTTGCACACATACTTGCAGTTCCCAAACAGACAGTGGAAGTGGAACTTGTTGGAGTACTTGCAGTCTGTGGCCAGGCAGGGGTCACTGTTGGGGGAAAAAAACGCCGTTTCACCACGACATAATTAACTGCGGACGGCGGTGCTGCGATCTTCCCTCACCCCAAAGCCTGGAAGACGACGCATTCGTGTCCCCCCCTCCCCCGACCCACTCACTTGTCCTGGAACTGCAGGAATCCCGGCTTGACCTGCGGCTTGGCATTCTCCAGCGAGGTGGTGGCCAGGGGGGCAGAGGCGGCGGGCAGTGGAGGCACGGCGCCCGTCAGCTGCTTCCAGGCCAGCAGCGAGGGAGATGTAGAGGAGCAGAAGCCCGCCGCCTCTGTGGTGGCGATGGCGGCCATGGAAATGGGCACAGATGGCTGAGGTGGGGCGCCCTCCCCTGGCTCCTTGTTCTCGCCGAAGTGGGGCTCTGACTTCACCTTCATGGTCGCCCGGAAGTGAAAGCTAGTAGGATGTGAGGGTGGTCATGTGACATCTCATGGTCCAATGGAAATGCTCAGGACATTCTAAGTGTGCTTCATGAGACCCAGGCCTGCGGCTCTTTGGTTGCTAATGCTGGGCTTGGTTTTGCCTACCCTCACGTCTGGGCAGAAATCCCTAAAGCCCAATTCCCCCCTGGGACGGCACTCACTTGGCATGCTTGATGGCTCCGTCGACCGTGCTGAAGAGGGCACCGCAGTCCTCTACCAGGCAGTGGAAGTGAACCTTGCGCAGGAAGTCACAGTGGGTCTCGCAGAAGTCCTCTGTGCCAAACCTGGTCAAGGGACAGGTTCATAGACACAGTGCAGGTGCGTGATATGACCAGCAGGGGGCATGCCAGTTAAGGGCCCTGACTGAGGAGTCCTGGGGAGACTGAACAGCACGGGCTCTCACCTGCGCAAGTAGGTCCTCCACAGCTCCACAGGCTTGTCCTGCTGGGGTCGTTTCATGATGTGGCTGAGGTACTGCATCGCCTCGGAGCCGTCCGACCCCAGGACGCCCTCCGTGTCCGTCTTCAGGTTCAGCGAGCCAAACAAGCCTGAGTTCACATGAGACATCTGTGGGGAAAAAAGAGAGCAGGTGGGTCAGTGAGTGCAGGGGGGGGGTTCTGTGAAGGGACCCGGCCACACACGCACACACGAGGGGGTTGGGGTGGTGGGGTACTGCCGGGGGGGGGGCCCTGTGCCAATCCACTGTCCCGCTTTTCATGACTTGTGACCAGTTAATGCAGCGTGTCGGGAAGCGAAATGGTCGGGGACTCTGCAGAGAGATCTGGAGCTGAATGGGGGGGGGGGCACAGAAAGGCATCACTGAGCATGGGAGAGGGCCGTGAAGAGGCACAGCACTGCTCACCCCGTTCGCCAAAAGTGAGTTTCAAAAGGGACAGGCTAATCCCTTAATCCCCCTGCTAGTGCCTGCGTGGGCCCCGGCCTGGGTCAGCGGGCGGCCACCACCCCATGCAGACGTGGGGTCCCTGGGGGGGCCTGTTAATAGCCCCCGGTAATGCACTCTAGTATCCCGAGATCCCCCTGAGCAGTAGGAGCCCCCACCCCTGAAAAGGAACAAGCCAGCCCCTACAAACAACCCCTGTGGTTCTGTTTGACATCCCTAGCAATTGCGGGACAGCTCTGAGCAAACCCTGAGGGAGACCCAGTGTGAGGCCTGCTAACCCAGGGTGAGAGAGCCACCTCCCCAGGGTGAATCAAGACAACAAGGGGCCTGGGGCTCGGGGAGGGGTGGGTGGATCTGAGTCCTTGACATCCCAGTAACGACACGGGTGGGTGGATCTGTCCACTCTGTCCATGTTCTCTGCTGACTGACCCACTGCTCAGGTAGGCGTCCCAGTTCACTGACCAGTCCAGTCCCACGAGCCCCAGCCCTGAAACCCATACTGGCCGCTCTTATGTTATCGCGTTTGCTTTATGGAGGCCGAGAGGGGCACGCGGCCCGGGGGCAGCGGATTGGCTGGCCTCATAAACACGCCCCCCATCCCGGCCAGCACATGTCACCCAGCTCCCAACGCCCCCTAAACCATCAGGATAATGGATCTGCGTGCAACATTAGTTTCTGTCTCAACGAGGTTTGATTAAAACGACGCCTGTTTTAAAATATGCAAAAGCAGGGCATTAAAAACAGGCGCAAACGCCCGCCCGCCCGCACGCCCCCGCTTAAAAAATGAGAAGGTGCTTTCTCTATTATTTTTTTCAGGCCCTTAATCAAATCATTTACAAACTCCATAAATAAAGACAAAGTGAATGAAGAAGAAAAAAGGAGGAAGAAAGGGAATAAAATGCAGGCAAGGTTGGAAACAGCTCGTCAAAAAGCAGACATGCCTATACATCTAGCATGGCACCCCAGAACTGCTTCATTATATTAATTTGCAAGCGCTGGGCTGAAATTACACTGCATGAAAAATGGGTGGAAAATTTAAATGGTACAAACTCATCTTATTAGCGGTGAAACATTAAAAAACAAACAGCCCCCACTGTGTCCTGCTAATTTGTCTTGGGATGAAAACCGTTTGATGGATGGGTCTTACCTTATTCATAAGCGAGGATAAAAGAGATGTATTTCCCAGAACAGGGTGTCCGTTTGAGTCATTACTGGAACAAGGAAAATGAGCAATGTTTGGTCAGGATTTGCAGGAGAACAGTAAATATTAACATTTATCACCGACTACAGGGACAGAGACACAGGAAAGGAAGACATCACCTCAGAGTGTTGTGGGGGGGGGATGATAAACTAAAATAAAAATGAAGTTGTGGTCTGGTCGAAAGCGAGAGAAGGAGGGGGAGCATTCCTGTAAGCACGGCAGCGGCGAGCAGGCCAGCGCAGAGCCGACGAGGGGAGATGTGACAACAGATATGGACAGGTATGGCTGCACAAGCAAGAAGCATGCAGAGCCTGGAGCGGCAGAGAGGCAGCCACAAGCACGCAGACACATGCTGGCAGATACACGCGTGCACAATGACATACACACACGTGTGCATACATGTGCAGACTATCACACACACGTACACACACATACACATGGACATACATACACATGGCAAACTCTCTCACACACACACACAGACTTGTACTTATATCTTTGTGGGGACTCTCTATTCATTTCTATGGGAAAAACTCTTAACCCCTATATGACCCTAACCCCTACTCGGCCCTAACTTTAACCATAAGTAACCAAACAAAGTACAAGACTTTTGGCATTTTTAGTTCTTTGATTACAGTCACAGATTTTTATAAAACTTAATTTCCCCACAACTCAAAATAACTAGTTTTGAATCACATTGTAGGGAGGTTTGGTCCCCACAACGTAATGTATAGCTGATCCACACACACACACACACACACACGCATACACGCATGCGCACACACACACGCGCACATGCAGCTGCAGTATTGTAGAGCACACTCTGACCACGGCCTGCTTCAGCACTATTTAACCCACCCAAACTTTCAGAGAGGGAGGACCTGCGGCTGTACAGTATGAAAATCCCATAAATCCATCCCGGTCGTACCTGTGGACCTTCTTGCTCAGATCCAGGCTGTGCTCCTGCAGGGAATCCTGGGAAGCGCCGGCATTGCCGTCCGTGGGCTCCTGCTTCACGTGAACCGGGTTGAAGCGGCCCGGCGGAGCGGGCAGCCCGTTCCCTGGGGACGGACGGGAGGGCGATGGCCCGCGTTAGCCAGGGTGACGTGATGCGACGAGACTCCGGCCTCGGCCCAAGGAGAACTCGCCGTGATAATTATTGCAAAATGATGTCAGTCCGTGAGGGGTGACCGGGGGATTCAGGCAGCCATGGAGGGGTGGGAGGAATGAGGCAAAAAGCCCCCATTTTTAGTGCTGCTTGTCACTATCTATCTGCCAGACTCCTGCTAACCGTTCATTAACGGCGATGCTAATGCTGAGGAGGGCTGGCAGCTCCATACTGGTCACCCGTCCCCCCCCCCGCCCCCATCTCCCACTTGTCCTTGTTGGCCCAGCGACGGGAGGCGGCCCTCCCCACGGAGTCTGCCCAGAAGGACATGTCTGCCATGTTGGATGGATTGGAGGTGACAGCCAATCAGATCAGTTCAAACAGCGTGACCCCTCGATCGGATTTCCGCGATAGGTATTCCTCGGCCGCCTCTGAGGGAGCAGAGGAACGGGCTGGAAAACTGCTGACGGGAAAATGCGGACCGGCTTTTCCTTCAGTCCCGGAGTGATTGAAATATTAATTTGCCCTGGGGCTGGAAGGAAGGGGCTCCACATTTCATAGGCGGTAAGTGGTATTTTATTAAAAATGGGGGGGTGGGGGGGTAAGAACAACCTCTGGGCCGGGGTGATGAGTGTGTCGACAGTGACTGGCCCAGGCGAGCTTTCGGCGCCTTGTGAGGGATTGTGACAGACAAGGTCGCCACGGCGACGTGTGCCCTTGGCCCACTGAGCAAGGGCACTGCTGCATCTCTGGAGAAATTAGGAGATAGGAGGAGAGGGGAAACGAGACCCAATGCAGCCAGCCGGGGTGACGGGGGCCACCGGGGCAGCCGGCCCAGCTCATCGCCACCCCCCCAGTCAACCGGGATGCAGGAGGAGCCGATTAAGATGCGACTACGGATCAGGATTTCTGACAGATTCATTTATGAATCCCCAAAAAAGCAGTGGGGTGATCTCCGAGGGAAGGTACCCTGGAAGTGCTCCAGAAATAACGCTGTACCATGTAATTACTCCTGCTAAGTTATAGGGCTTGCGAGGGACAATTTGTACTGTGTGTCTAATTAGTCCACCCCTCAGATGTGGAGATTTTTAAAGTGCAGTTTAAAACAACACTTTGGATGGGAGCGCGGAGACGCCTGGGGGGGGGCGTTCCCGTACCCTGCCTCAGCGTTTTCCTATTTTGGCCCTGCCAATAAAATCGCACACATACAGTGTGAAAAAGCTCAGTTCTTTATCTCCCTAATAGCGAAAAGATAAGTCTGCAAATAGCCCCAGTTGGGAGCTCTTTACGTGGCCCAGGGTGAGATGCCGTTACCACTTCCTCTCCTTCGATACGAGTGTCCGGTTCACACAACGCGCACAAGCATGAATGATTTGGCAACAAAGCAAGGGGACTTTTTAGTGTCAGAGAGTGTTTTTTTTCCCCTTTCTCTCATTTCTTGCTGCTGTGTGTGTGTGTGTTTGCATTTTAAGAACTATATAAAGGTAGGCAACTTTCCACACCGGCAGTTGAGAGTCAGGGCAACAGTTTCCACGCAACACTGGTGCAAAGAAGCTGTGAGCTGCTCACACTGAGCGCGCTCTGGTGGGTGTGGGAGGGAGGGGGCGAGGATGCCGCCACACCCCTTAGGACCTCACCTTCACTGGGCTCTCCATCATCGCCCTGGAGGCAGGCCATGTGAATCACTCCCATCTCTCTCCTGAGACTTATCCTTCTCCAGAAACCC